CAACGGTTGCTTCGGGGGTTTCTTCAACCTCGGCAGCACGGCCCTTCGATTCTGGGGGCCTTTTGCTTATTGCAGTCAGCAATCTGATGCTTACCACCGCAGAAGAGACAAAGGTTGTTCTTCATCCTTCTTTCCTTCTCGGAGGGAAGGACTTTCCCATCTGCACCAAGATGGTTGAACGCGGGGCGCTGACCGCCGGATTGGCCGGAATTCGAAGAATTCTGGGGCTTACCATTGTTGTTAGGCTTACCACCAGAGAAGGGTTTAGGCTTCGGCGTGAACGGCGCCGAAGAGCCAGAAGGCTGAGAATTGTTATGCTGGTTAGAAGAACCAATCTTGAAGTCCGAGGAACCCTTCTTCGGGTTCCGAGCAACAAAAGGCTTACCAGCCTCACGCTTTCTAGTTTCCTCGCGTTTCCAATAACGATTGTCAATACGAAGAACTTCTTGACGATAATCGGCGAGCGTCGCCGGCTCGGGCAAATGCGCCATTTCGTCCTTGATGCGTTCAGCTAGGCCTCATCCATAAGCCCATTTCAGGGCAGCAGAATCCCAGTTGGTACTAGCAGCCAGGGTGTTGAACCGGATATTGTATTTCCGGATGTTCTCAGTTTCCTTCATCTTCAGATTACCGAGAGAATCTTCGGCCTCGCCTTGGGCGTCGTAAACGCCGAAATTATCCTGAAGCTCCTTTACAAGGGCTTTGAAGGAGGATGTCCAGGTCGGCAGCGAGTCGAGATCCGGATCGAGGATATCAGGGACAAACCATTCTTTGGCTGACCCACTGAGATAAGAAAGGGTGTAGTTCACCTTCCGTTGGTCGGTGAAGTACTTTGGACGGTCATTAAAGACCAGGGCGAGATTGACGAAGAACGTCTTGAGTTTTCGGGGGTCCGAACCGTCGAATACCTCTGGCTCCTTGACTTTGCTCTTGGATTCAGAGCTGTCAGAGGGACGGCCGAGAGCGGCGAGGACGGTACCAAGGGTCTCAATGGAGCCCTTGAATCCCGAGAGGAGTTCCAACATAGCACGTTGCTCGTTGGGGATGTCAGGAGAGATTGGGGAACGGGGTCCACTAGGTCCACCAGGACCGCCGGGACCGCCGGGACCACCAGGACCACCAGGTCCACTGGGGTCACCAGGCTCACCACGCGGTAAACCGCCGGAGTCGTCATCCAGATCGTCGTTGTTATTATCGACGCCCGGATCGTCGGGGTCGACAGGAGGGTCTTGATCATCGTGATCACCAGTGTCCAATTCGAAGTGAGGAGGTGGGTCACGAGGAGATTCAGAAGCAGCACAACGTTGGGGTTGTTTCCCCGTACGGCGGGCTATGGCTTGGAGAATTGGAGAATCAATTCGAGTAGTTGAGCGGCCCCGAGCCGGAGCGACCACGGGGGGTTGTCCACGGCGAGGGGTCAGGACTTGGACAGGTTGTCCGTCACCAGTGTACAAGGTACTGTATTCGAATTGTTGTTCCTCTTCCATGGCTTCAGGAAGAGTCGACGTAGTAGGGACTGTAGCTGGACCGAACCCGCGATTACGGCGACGTGGTTGACCAATGGCAGAGATAGAGTCGGAAAATGGGGCAAATGATTGGGCTGTAGTGAAGAAAGTATTTTCTTCGGAGTTAGCTCTAGATTGAGCTCGAGTTTTCGGAGGCATAAAAAATGATATGTCAGTACGACGTTAACGGATTGAGTTTAATTATACTGTTAAGATCATGTACACCGTGTAACCGTGCCAAAGCCACAAGGTGTCTAAGTGCGGAAGACGAGTGGGACAGTAGTGAAGTTATTAACAACACCGCCGTTACGCCGTTAGTCCCCGGAGATTGAGAGTAGAGAAGGGAGGAACTGAGAAGCAGCCAAGTCGGAGCGGCGGTATCGCCGGTGACGAGGAGCGAGCCAGAGGACGTCTAGTCCTAAGGTAGCGTAGAGAGTACTTCAAGGCGTTGAGCCTGAAGACTTAGAGAGCACAGAGTGTAAGAGGGAATCTAAGTCGATCTAAGTTGATAATTAAACTGAGGAACTACAGTAGCGTACAGGCAGTATTTATATCTACGGAACGGCGCATCGGTGCGGAGCGCTAGACTAACTACTAGGAGCTATATGAGTAGTACCTGCAGGGTAGAGTAAAAGACAATAAGGAGAGACTAGAACGAAAGAGTAAAAGACAATAATGAGAGACTAGAACGAAAGGATATGTGTAGCGAGAAAGAACAATAGGAGAGAGATTACAATAAAGAGCAGATCTTCGGAGTACCGAGCGGCGGAATGGAGGCCCGCCGGCATGGACTTGACACTTAGGCATTGTACCTGCGTGTATTATCATGATTGGCAACAGAACCCCATCGTCCAAAACCTGCCGTAAGAAGAGCCACAGCTAACTCTGGCTAACTTCTTTGCCAGATAGAAGCGTTGACGCAATCATTTCGCCTTCCTTAACGCATACAAAAGCATTGTTAGACCTGTGAAAATATAACAAGGAACGGTGTCCACCCCATATAAGGTGGATGTACACTCTTGTATTGACGTTCCCTCCTTTCGTTATACTCCTCCACCATGAATAGTCTCAAAAATGTATTGTCGCCAGCCCATCTCTGTCAGCTCCATTGAGACGAGGTCCTCCACTATGATTTGTTCACTAGTCTCCTTTACACTTAGTTTGTTTTTCGCACGACGCTTTCCCTCAGCTGTTTAGATCCTGGCATATATTAGACAACTCATGGAGCAATATTCATCAATAGACGAGCAGGACCCAACTTGATTATACATGAGCAGAACAGATTTTGTGATTTCTGTAGCTGAGAAAGGACAGAACAGCACAGAACTTGAATGGAGTTAGGGGAAAAAAGTAGGATTTGTAGCTGATGATGACATGGTTGTGAAGCCAAGCCTATTTTGGTAACTCCGATGAACCCCAAGTCCATATGGTCGCCGGTGTGTACTCACGTAAACAAACATAGGATAATTGACCGTCTTCTTAACTTATAATAGCCTATGGCGCTTACCGGTCGAGATGACCAATTATGACAAGTGTGACGCTTCCCAGGAATAGGGTTTGTTTGGTCATGTTGTGCCATAAAACACATGAGGCGTGATAATGGGTGTCCACAATTTTGTGCACTACAATTTTTCCAAATGTGTGTTGTTGTAGCCACAATGATTTTTGTGGGGGACATGGATAGTTTACACTGGTTGCGGTGTGTCCTTACTACCGATGTGCTTTGCCGGCTAAGAACGCAGTGTAGCTGGACAATTGATCAATATGAATCATATGTTGAATCAATCACCCCAGCCTGAAGTAACTAAATGATCTGCTCGTGCCGTTTGACTGGTGAAAGAAAGCATCGACGAGACCGACGTGATCTTAAGTGCCTGATTGCCGAGCAATTGGCTGGCGCCAAAATCCGTCAGAGAAGAGAATAGAGTCATCATAAAAAAGTCACAAAAAATATCAATACTCACAGCATAAGGATTGGGTCATTTGGCCCTAGATTTTTGTCCGAGGTATAGATGGTCGGGGGGGTGAGAAGGTGCAAGTCTTCGGAATAACGTCTTGGTACAATGGTGTTGGCAGCGTGATCTAGATCAATAGAAGAAGTCAGCGCCAGCAACAACTGAGTTTGAAATTGCCTGCCTCCTCTCTCCGTCCAGACCGTAGACCATCTTTAACACCTTGAGGTACACACGTTCTGATCCTATGATGACAGATTAGCTGGAACCAGGGCATTCCGGCTTCTACCTTACCGTTGATCTCATGGGAGACTAGAGTTGGAAAGGGAATCTAATGTTAGCAATTATTGTTCTCACACTTCACACTTCTCTTCCCTTTGTCAACAATTTGAAGAGAAGGATTACAAGAAAGGCAAGTGTAGGGCGTCAAGTGCTTTCCATGGTGTCCGTTATCGCCAAGGGGGCAGCATCCTCTTAATTCTTGACAGTCTCAACTCTGGATCCTCGAGGGGTTCTCGGTGTCTCCATATATCGATGTCCTCGGTGTTCATCCCATGAGGGTTCAACATGTTGAATGATATTCGACATCGCTCTTCTTATAGAATCTTCTGCCATCTAATCCACTCTATTGTAAGTCTTATCTCTAACTAGTCACTTCGGATATGTCAAAGCTTTTGATAACATCGAAATTGTGCTAAATAACCCAAAACCGTTCGAATGAGCGCTGATGGGTAGTGATTTCGGACAATGTACCCCGTGCAAATGGAAAGGGATGTAGTCCTCCGTGTCTCAGACTTGGCGGATCATACGGACTGTTTAGATCCGATATCCGATAACTGGTGGATGCCCATTGCCAAGTTCAGAAAAAGTTGTTGCCCTCGGGCCGAGGCGACATGTTGTGACTAACTGACTGACTATCCGAGCCACTGATAATCATTATGGGTCAAAGCTGTCTCTACGAGGTCTCACGTGCGCGCCGTATCCAGACTCTCGAATATTGACTAATCAACAGAGGCGTCGTTTTCGTCGCTATTTGGGGAGTGTTTGAGCTTCAAACCCCGTCCCCCATCACATCCCGGATCCCGGCCCGCGGAACCACAGCGCTCCCGGGAAGTCTGAGCGCTTATAATAGTCTAGAACCTGAAAAAAAAATCTGTTACGTTCTTACGTTTTTCCAGTGTTTCCACTTGTGTCCAGTGTTTCTACTACGGACTTGTCCCAAGTGTCCAGCGCGTCTTGCTCAGAGCCTCGTTTGTGGTACTTTTGGTACTTTGTTCACGTTGTTCACGTTGCTCGTTGGTAACGCATTCTCTGCTCGTTGCTCGTTGGTCCTCGTTACGTTGTTCGCGTTCAGAACCAACCCACCCAACTTGTTCGTTGTTCGTTCGTTGCTTCCGCATAAAAACGTAGAAGCCTAAAAGCAGGAAAGCAGAAAAGCAGAAAAGCGTAAAAGCACAGAAACGCAGAAAAGCGTAAAAGCAGAAACGCAGAAAAGGATAAAGGATACCATAGAACGGTTCAGAGACACGTATTAACACACACCATGCATCGTTCACCTGTCGTCCTCGGACGACGACGACTCCAAAACACCTTGTCGCGTTTTCCTTCCACTTCCACTTCCACTCTCCCTCTCCCTCTCACACCCCCCACCACCCGCTCCCTGCACACCCCCAAACCCCTCCCCTACGACCCCGCCCTCGGCCTCGGCGACTTCCTCCCGCCCCCCGCCCTCCACGTCGTCGCGGTGGAGTACCAAAAAGGGTTATTAGATAGGTTAAACGAAGAAGTCCGGGGCACGGAAATGTCCGATATGTCAGTAATGCAGACGATTGTCTCCAGTGCGACGGATCGAACAAGGGTGTTGGCGTTTAATTATGCGAGTTTGGCGTTGAATAATCATTTTTTTTTGGATAATTTGGTGTGTTTTTGTTCTCATTCCTTCTATTATTTATTATTTATTATTTACTATTTACTAACCCCCCTCCTTCCTTACAGAAACCCCCCACCCCCCCTTACGCCTCGCACCAACACCTGATCTCCCCTACCCTCTCCGCCGAGATCCGCGCCCAACACGGGTCCCTCGCCCAGCTCAAATCCAGCTTCAGCGCCGCCGCCACGGGCCTCTTCACCTCCGGCTACGTGTGGTTCGTCACCGACGCCGCAGGGAACACCGGGGTGGTCCCGACCTTCGGCCCTGGCTCGGTGTTGGTGCGGAGTCAGATGTATATGGGGTATTTGAAGGGGTTGGGGGGGAGAGTGGGAAAGGGACGGGTAGAGAGGGTAGAGAGGGTGGTGGTGGGGTAGGAGGAGGGGTAGGAAGAGAAAGTGGGGGAGGAGGCATCGGGGAAGGACCGGATGTGGGTGTGGGAGCGGTGTTGCGGGGGACGTTTGGGAGAGGGGATCCGTTGGAGGAGGATGATCCGTATTATGGGGAGTGGGTGAAAGAGTTGGAGGGGATGCAGAAGGAGGCAGAGGCACAGGCAGAGGGGGGTACGAGTGGTGTGTCTACTGCCACTGCCCAGGACGGGGAGGACGGGAACGGAGAGGAGAACGGGGAAGGGGAAGGAGAGGAAGACGACCTCCTCACCCGCTACACCACACCCCCAACCACCCTCTCCCACCCCACCGCATTCAACCTCCTCACCTCTTCCTCCCCCTCTTCCCCCTCCTCTCCCACCTCCTCCTCCACCCCCCCACCTCTCTCCACCTCCCCCTCCGCCTCCTCCCGTCCGCGCTCCACCACCCGCAGTCAATCCCTCACCCTCACCGCGACCGCCGGTGACACGCTCTACCCTCTCTTCTGTGTGTCGGTGCACGAGCACGCGTGGCTGAGCGCGGGGTATGGGGTGTGGGGGAAGGAGAGGTGGGTGAGGGGGTTTTGGGATGTGGTGGATTGGGGGAAGGTTAGTAGGGCGTATGAGTATTTTAGGGTGAGGTAGATAGGGAGGGGAAGGAGGGAGGGAGGGGGAGGGAGGAAGAGTTCGGGGATACTCTAAATTTAAATATTGGTTTTTTAATACAATCAGTGTGCGTGTGCGTGTGCGGTGTTTTGAGGAGTCTGTACTACATAAGTAGATACTCCCAAGTCCAAGTCCAAGTCTAACTACGTACTTCATACTTCACTTTGTAGATATCCAACAGTTCTCCTCAAACACTTCTATATCTTCACTCCACTCCACTTCACTTCACTCCCCACAACTCTTCCCACACTCATACTCCTACCAACTCCTGCCATTATATATCATATATCATATATCATACACACCAGTACCACACCTAAACCTAAATTTTGGCTAGACGTCTATTCACACTCCACCCCACTCCACCATACTCCCCTATACTCCCCTATACTCCACCCCACTCCCCTATACTCCCCCCACTTCACCCCACTTCACCCTACTCCACCATACACTTCACCATACTCCACATAATTCTTTACATATCCAGATCCAGATCCTCACCTGCATATCCAGATCCACACCCTCCAGATCCACACCCTCCAGATCCACACCCTCCAGATCCACACCATCCAGAATCCTCACCAGTTGGTTAGTTTACCCATCCCTGTTTACTCATTCCTGTTTACTCATCCCTGTTTACCCATCCCTGTTTACTCATCCATTTACACATCCCTGGTCAGTTTACTCATCCCTGAGGTTAACTTCAGATAAAAAAAACTAAAATGTAGGGAGTCTGTTTGTTGTAAGATGTGATATATACTTTCTTTTTATCACCCTTGCTTTTTATATATCACCCTTGCTTGCTTTCTATGACTGTGCTTGCTTTCTATGACTTTGCTTTCTATGACTGTGCTTTCTATCTATGACTGTGCTTTCTATCTATGACTGTGCTATATATCACCCTCCATAGAAGTGATTAGATTGATCCAGATACATCAACTGAGAAGAAGAAGAAGAAGAAACAGAGAAACAGAGAAACAGAAACAGAAACAGAAACAGAAACAGAAACAGAAACAGAAACAGAAACAGAAACAGAAACAGAAACAGAAACAGAAACAGAAACAGAGAAACAGAAACAGAGAAACCCCCAAGTCCTTGAATCAAGGTAGACCAGGGAGACTCGAGTGCAGAGTCAGAGTGTATGTGTATATTGAGATATTTGAGATGTGCGAGGAAAGGGGTGGGAGCTCCCACTGAGTGGAAGGGCTTTGAATGATGTGGATGATGTGGATGATGTGCGAGGAAAATGTGGATGATGTGCGAGGAAAATGTGGATGATGTGGATGATATGTGCGAAGCAGGAAGAACGAGGGTCTGTGGGAGGAGCCTCGAGCGCAGAGTGTGCGAATGCATAATTGGATTGTATTAAGACATTTGGGAGGCAAGCGCAGCGCGGAGCCGATGAACACAGAAAGAAGATGCAACGTCCGTCCAAAGGAAGAGGTTCACCAGAACCTGGAAAGACTTTCTTTCCTCGTTCCTCGTTCCTTCGAGACGGGAAACAGCTCGCTGTCATGATATAGCGGTGATTACCTGTGATACGAACATACTTCATCGGGCTTTCGAACATACTTCATCGGGCTTCCGAACATCGTCGATGTGTGTAACAGCAAGACATGCTTCGAACGGTATCATCATCACATCAATGTGCGCAGCACGGAAGACTGAGGCCTTGAGGAGGTCTGCATGGGACTCGAGCGCGGAATCGTCGAATGTCGAATGTCGAATGGAGCGTTGGATTATGTTAGGACGGTTGAGGAAAAGAGGGAGGGGTAAAGGAAGTAGAGGAAGTAGAGGAAGTAGGGGGGTTTCGAATGGTATGGATGTGCGAGAGGTTGAAGACGATGCAGCGGCGTCCGAAGGAAGAGGTTCGCTAGAACCTGGGAAGACTCTCCGAGTTCCTTTGGGAAGCAGCTCGCTGTCATGACGTAGAGGTGATTACCTGTGATACGAACATAGTTCTGTAAGCAAGTGAAATGAGAGTGTTACGATGATATGAATAAAGCACGAATTAAGAGTCGGATGAACGAATGGATTCATAAGTCATAGAGGAACGAAGGGTAGCGAGATGTACGGGGGTCAAAGTGTGTAAAAGACCCTCTGACAACAGGGAGAGCGAAAAGCCGAAATTTGATCGCGGAAAAGAGCACAATCGAATCAACCTACCTGAAATCAAGTTATTTGCAATCCAGCACTGTTTCGTGATAACTTCTCCGGCCGACAATTCTCTTCATCCAAGCTTTCTTGTCCTCGTTACATTCCGGATTTATCTCATCGTACAAGACAGTGTCGAGCTTCTCAGCAACAGCGTCGACCGTAGCATCCTAAGTAGGTTGTACTAGAGTCAGTCATCGCTCCGATGCCTCCCTCCTTCACCCGTGTCCATGGAATTCCCAGTCGAGATTTCTACATGTACAATTCCTTCGTTCAGCATACCATGAAATCTAAAACTCTGCCACGAATCTGGTTGGGTTAGTCGTTTGAGGTACTTGGAAAGCCATAGGGATCAAGGAACACATACTTATCGTGATCGATGTAATGTCAATGAAAGGCATTCGAAGACTAGGATGAAGGGAGTGATACGGAGTAATAGGCGGTTGTAGAAGATGGACGGCGACGAGTACAAAGCGGAATAGGAGATTTTTTCCAGCGCAGGAGCATACTACCAATGGGCTGCAGGACTGGAGGTCACTTCAGCACATAGGGTATAATTTGGTTGAAGATCGGTGCAAAGTATTGAAGATCAAGGGCACCGACAGCGGTGGATGAAATGGAAATGCGCGTACAGACGAATTCGGGTTATGCTAACGAAGGCAATGCGATAAGCTTGAAGACTGACAGTGGTATTATTTGAGCGCCTACGAATCGATTCTCACGCCAAAAGCTTCCACGTCGCGCTCTCTCAACATCGACACACATAACTTCCAAGCAGGCTATTCTGAGAGCCCAATAACAAGAAATCTTTCATTCGTCTACACTTTCACCAACTTGTCAGATACCTAGTCAAAACTCGAGCTACCATGGCACCTAAATCCTCCTCCTCTTTCACCTTCACCAAACCTTCCTCCCAAACCGCCTCCGGCTCTTCAAACACAGTCTCTACCACCGCCTCTAGCTCCATCTCCGCCCTTCTATCTGCTTATACCAACCAGACAACCCCCCGTCTCAAATTCATCGACGCCTTCCTCGTATTCCTCGTCTCCTCTGGGGTGTTGCAGTTCGTTTACTGCGTCCTTGTAACGAACTTTCCGTTTAATGCGTTTTTGGCTGGGTGAGTTGTGGGGTTTTTTTTTGGTTCGGCTGTAACGAGTTTTGTTCTATGTTTTGTCGCGAAGTGCTGATTGCGATTGCGCTGTTTAACGCGTTGGTTAGTGGAAGATGCGCTGGGTGGATTGAGATGGAATGCGCTAGTTACCAATATAGGAGATTGAGAAAATGGGAAAACTCCAACTTCCTTTCACTTCGTCCTATCATATAACACATATACTAATGCCTACTCCTCCTGTCACTCTCTCGTCCTCCTAATATCTCTCAATCCTCGCTCCCCAGGTTCTCCAGCACCGTCGGCCAATTCGTCTTAACCGCATCCCTCAGACAACAGGTCAATCCGGAAAACAAGGTGGAGTTCAAGGAAGTTTCGCATGAACGGTGAGTTGAGATGTAATTCTGATGCCTGCGTTCTTCGTTCGTTCGTTCGTTCGTTCGTTCGTTGCATTTCATTATTTATCATTGGGTTCCGCCGCGTTTCCGGCGAGTCGACGGTTCGTTCGTTCATTTATCCTTCGTCTTCGTTCTTTCTTCGCTCATTGTCCACGATTCGTTCGGTTCGTGTTGTAATCATCTCACATCTCACATATCGTGCGTTTGTTTTTGTACACTACACCGATTCTTATACGCTATCCTTCATCCGTTTGTTCTTTTCCCTCTCCATGATGTCAAGTCTCGAATCCAGATTGCTGATGTCTTCCATTTTGTTTTCCTCTTCCCATCCTCCTTCCGTTCGTCCTCACTCATTGCTGATCATCATTCATCCCCATCCATGCTCAAACAGAGCCTTTGCAGATTTCGTCCTTGGATCTATCGTCCTTCACTTTTTCGTGTATAATTTCCTCGGATGAGGGTTGGATATCCAATGAACAATGGAGGAAGAAGAGGTAGAAGACTGAAGTGGAGGCAGAGGTTGGAGAAGTTGCCCAAGATGATGAAAAGGTTGGGACTTACATATGGGATATCTCATTATCTATGTATACAAGTTACATATCTGGATTCTCTCGTATCATACTCTCATTCCAGGAATTTTCGTCAAAACATGTTGACTACTAGCTGCCGGCGCCTAAATAAATTAGCGCTCACTTAAGTGCCCCCACTGCCGCCACACACAGCCTAAAATTGAACAGGCTGTTTTGACATTCGAAATCCCGAACAACTGTGTGCGAAGTTACCAGGGTTCTAGTGTACCATCCATTTTCAGGGCTAGTTTTTTTGTATTGGAAACAATGCTTCGAATTATTCTTTGAAGAGCCGAAGAATTCTGTACAGAAAATTACATCATACTGTTACAGCACAGTAAGCACTGCGTGCAACCTCCTCAACTCTCCATACATAGCATACTGTGAGGAATGAAAACAGACGTAAACACTGCTAAACCAAACAGCAGTAATATTTCAGTGCATGCCACAGTTTCGAGACTATGTGACTTTGTACCATATATAAATAAGGGTAGAGCTCAAGCAAGATCCGCACACGTCAGGTGACTGTGACCCACTGCAATTCTGATTGACGAAAAAATTAATAGCAGTCTTAGAAATCAGCCTTCTTGAAATCGGCTCGCGCAGAAAGTTTTGGATCCCTCGAGCAAAACTTTCCTTGCAAGCCAATTTTCTGTGTATGTCGATGAACGGCGGCTATTAATTTTTGAAGGTCATGTCACGCCGGTCAGGTGATGTGTGCGGAATTTGCTTGAGCTCTACCTTAGGCAAAAAAGGGAATTACGGTGCTTAAATTGCAAATTGAATGACAGGCACTGGCAGAAATATTACAGGCTTGACTATACACGAGGCATAGGTACTTATGGAAGAAAGGATTGCATAGTAAGAACCCTATCACATCATGCAGCTGATAAGATAGGATATATTTGAACTGCAAAAAAAAAACTTATTGGCATTTTCCTTGCCTGAAATTAGTATACTTTAGGCCTGCCCTGTCCGAGATAGCAGACTTTGGGTATCTGCTGTCTGACTTGGTGGTCCAATGAAGGTAGGTGGAGTTCTGGCACCCGAGTTTGGGCAAAGAAGCTCAGAAGAGCTTCGGAAGCAGCGATAATAGTCAATAAAATGTACAGAAAGACAATTCCAGGCTTGGGGAAGAAACTTCAGTATTTTCGGCGCAATTTTTACGATTTCACGTGACGTTCCTTATCCGAATTAACGGAGTTCAGGCCGCCTGGGTGGGTGGGGTTCTGCAGGAGCTTCCGGGGTCCTTTCACGAAATTATGCAAAACCCTGTACAGCCCGAAGACCCAAAATCCTAATTCGGCGCTTACAGCAGTCATCAAGCACACACTGAGGAATCAACTAATCAACTAATCACACTCAATTAAATAAGCTATCTATAAGGGTGAGATTGTTTAGATTTTTTTTGTGCGTGTATCACCCACAAAAGAAATCAATTAATAGGCCTAGGGGGGGTTAGGGATCAAAGAATAAATCCGGAATCTTCTTCGTCTGTATGGCATGAGTGTTACATAGTAGAATGGAGGATGTTCATAGTATAAAAGTGGAGGAAAATGCGGAGGTAATACACACCCCTCCTTACCTGACAAGCAAGAATTGAGACTCGAGAATGAAGGTATCAAAAATAGAAAATATTATCATCCACCAAGCGGTCCTGGATGTATTTGCGTTAGAGGTATGGGGCAATTCAGCACTTCAGTACTAACAATCGGATTGATCTATCGGTTTAGCTAAACGCTGACAAAGACCCGGAAAAACATCTTCGAATTTCATCGTGGATGGGGTACTATGGGGCTCTCCAACAAGTTGCATTAGGGGGAATGCATACGTCTAGCACGGTTTCAAAGAAATTTCTTGTGAGTTCAGCTGGTCAATGATGGCTCGAAGTTCATTACTCACCTAGGCTTTGCTCTACACAGAACGAGATTCAACGTCGAGGTTTGGTGAGTAGATACATATATACATATATCACAGGTTTTAGTTAAACTTTCAGCATCTTCTGGTTTATTTACCGCATGAACGATATTCTAATCGGTGATTTACCTTTTTGTTGTAGATCTTGAGGGCTCCGTCAAGGAGGACATATCCTGCACGTCGATAATACCTGTGCCAAGAGCATAGGGAGGGCGTTCGTATAGTTATATCGCGTGTCGAAAGCCCGGAAGTGGTTCGCGTTCGTGGTGTGTATTGAGGAATCAACGTCGACTTTGAATAATCACAATGTGAGAAAAGTACGATCACATGTCCGTTGCACGGTTGAACATTTGAAATACTTGTACTCTTACTTCAACGATGAGTACACAGCCTGTACAAATCGTTGCTCGAATACGACCTCCGCTCCTCAATGAGCACACTGACGATGCCATCTCTGTTGTTCCGATTCCCGCCGACCACACCTTATCCGCTGCCCGACCCATTCCGTTTACTTCCTGGGTCTCGGTATCCTCAACTGGTACAAAGACTGGTACAACTCAAGTCCAAAATTCGCAAACGGCATTTCATACAGCCTTTGGACCTGATACGACCCAACTAGAACTTTTTGACACCGCTGTGGCGCCACATCTGGCGCCTTTGTTGAAAGGTCATACCTTGACAATCCTCGCTTATGGACCGACGTCGTCTGGGAAGACACATACGATGGAAGGATCGCCCGCGGAGCCTGGTATTATTCCTCGCTCTGTGCGGGTCCTATTTGAGATGAGCGAGGAAGGAAAGGAGAGTGGGATGATTTCGAAATTCGAGGTCCACATGAGTTACCTCGAGTTGTATAAGGACGATGCGTTCGACTTGTTGGTCTCTCAACGGACTCACGAAAAGCTACCAATTAGAACGAATGCGAAGGGCGAGACGTTCGTAGTCGGATTGACCAGGGTACCGATCAAGTCTTTCGATGATTGGAAGAACGTATTTCGGTGTGACTGTTTTTTGTTTTGATTTCCTTCCCCCTTACCCATCTGTGTGTCTAGAACCGCTTCGCAAAATCGAACCACTGGCGCAACGCTCCTCAATCGCGCTTCATCTCGCTCGCATGCAATGCTGTCGATAGAAGTTGAACTAATTGCCGCACCTACATCAGAAACCCGAGAAATGAGTGCGTCCAACTGTTGTTGTGATATTCGGTCCTTGTTCACGATCATCTTTCAGCTTATAATGGCAAAATCAACTTGGTTGACTTGGCTGGATCAGAAAATAACAAGGTCGGTACAAAACGATGTCAAGATCTTTATCCAGCTCATCTCGTATATCATTTCTTCGTTGCTTGGTAGCATACCGGAAACTCGTTAGCAAATCCAACCCGTCTCGCTGAATCTGCAGCGATCAACAAATCCCTTTCAACGCTTGGCCAGGTTGTGCATGCGTTGAATACTGGTGCCGTACGTACCGGTTTCTTGATTGGCTCTTTCTCTGTTCACTCATACAGTGAACGCAGTCCCGTATTCCCTACCGTGACTCTAATCTCACCCGTCTGCTCTCTGCCTCACTCGGAGGTAAAGCGCTAGGCAAGACGATTCTATTGTGTAATTTAGCTCCGGGGGTCAAGTTTCGCTCAGACGTGTTGAACACGCTCAAGTAAGTTGACTTCTATCGCATTTCAGCGTTTGTCTGAAGTCATCTTGTTGCTGATCAAAATCCTCTACCTATCTATGTAGTTTCGCATCACGAACGAAGAACATCGAGACTAAGACGGTCGTGAACGAGCGCGAAAAGCCTCCTCCCGTAGAAGTCGTCAAAGAGAAGGAGTTCCTTCCCACCACAGGATCGTTGATGAGACGGACCTCGATTCAGAGTCGACGGGTGTCTGCGTCACATATTCCTGCTCCCGGATCGAGGATTCCTTCGTATGGATCTGGTGGACACTCGAGGTTGAGTGGTTTTGGGCTCGGTCCTGCTGCTGGTGTTGGAGGTTTAGGTGTGAAGGCCGGGATTGATGACGCGGATTTGAACGAACGAATCAACAAGGCCGTCGAGGCAGAAGTGAAGAGAAGGTTAGAAGAGAAGGAAGCACAAAGGAGAGAAGAGGAAGAGGCGAGAGAGAAGCAACTTCAGCAGGAGAAATCGCGGCCACATATTACTTCGTCTTCTTCCTCGACAAGCTCCAAGCAGGAGGCTCATACAGCTGATGTGATTATGGAGATGGTCACGACTGAAAACGTCGAAGAAAAAGAAATTATAGAAGTAGAAGTGGAGGAAGCTGAGGTGGAAACTGAATTACTCGTGGTCGAAGCTATGGACGTCGATCAGAATACCTCGCCAATGAAAGTAGATTCGGTTGGGCCTGAGATCCACGGGATACCCGGAGACAGTGACGACAACAACAATGACGAGGAGAAACTAACGATGGACGACATAGAAAGGAATTATAAAGAGCACATTGCGCATTTGGAGGCTCAGTTAGCTGCTGCCTCCTCATCCACCTCTACTTCTGCTGCAGCTAGTGCCAGTAGCAGTGCTTTCATTGCAGATGATCCACCTTCAATGTTCTCAGCTTCCACCTCATCCTCAACTTCTTTGTCAATATCGGCGTCTGCTCCGGGAACAGAGTCGATGTCGATGTCTTCCTCTGCGCACATTTCTGGGACCTCAGATATTCTCCGGAACTCGCAAACTTCTCTTACTGCGGCTGCTGCGGGCTTGTTGGATTCCACAGACGATGCAGAGTCGGTGGCTCGAATGAGTCTTGCTGAGAGGAAGAAGATGGGGAAGATCTATGTCGATCTTGCAAGAGGGTATAGTGCGAAGTAAGTTGTTTGAAATCATCTGCTGGCTTAAGTTAACTGTTTATGCCTGGTGTAGAAACGATCTCGCCACAGCGCTTTCGCTCTATCGACATGCTGCACTGTTTGTGCCAGATAATACAAGACTGAGTGAACGGTACGTCCTCCGTTCTTGTCTCTTTCCGTTCTCATCCTCCTTACTCACACTGCCTGTTCCTATGTCTCAAACTTTCAGCATCATCGACGTCGAATGGGCAGTCAGAAACGGTAAATCTTACGTCCCGACGCCGAAGAGACAGCACCCCCGGGAAGGCGAGGAGTTGAAGCTCAAGTCGAAATCGTCCAGGTCGTCTAAATCTCACCGGTCGTCTCATTCAATATCAAGACACGAGGAGATGAGCAAGGAAAACTCCAGCTCGAATTCCAACACCAACTCGGAAAGTCCTCGGAAATCAAGCTCTGCGGATACGAGACTCGAGTCAGAGCGGACTTCTCAGTTATCTCTGACAGGCTCGAAACGAAAACGCAGCGTCAGTCGGGAACCGGCAGACCATTCAGATTCAGAATATGTTTTCATTCCTCCGCTGTCTTCCAGTACAAGCCATGGACACGGATTTGGGAAAGACCTAGGAAACATCGACGAAGAAGTTGAGGCGGAAACTGAAACTGCTGAAGCAGAGGCAGATGAATTCGGGGTAACGCGAGTTGCAAAGGTTTTGCGCCGTTCACCTAGAAAGAAACAACTGCCACAACAAGTGTCGACTATCACTACTCTTGGGACGATGAAAAGTCCTTCTACGGTTTCGGATAAACGAAAGATGTTGGGTATGAGTTTGAATGGAAAGACTGGAGTTGGTGGTGTGGATATCAGTGGGTCCGTGTATCGTACACCTTCGGGAGGAATAGGAGGGACGACTACGCCAAAGAGAGGACATGTAAATGGGAGCGAGAGGAAAACGAGGAAGGTATCGGATTTGGTGTATAGTGGACTTGGGGGGCTTGGGTTCTCAGGACGTGGGTTTGGGCGTGATGAAGATGGGGTCGGGGATGTAGATGTGGAAATTCATGGGAAGCAGAAACGAGCGCGGCTGGATTGACCGGAGGTAAGGCAATGTCAAGGTTGTTGTTGGGGTTTGATACAACATTCATGTTTTGCATTTTCCCTTTGAACACTTGTGTCATCTTATCCCTTCTTCTACATACGTAGTTTCCTCTCTTCCCGTTTCTTGTTTTGTTTATTTCATTGGAATCTTTTGTATCCGTTTATGTATACATATGGCCTGTTCTCGCTCTAGTCGTCCTTGTTATCTCGCACCTCGCTTTGTCTTCTGCTATGGCCTTGCTTTGTAATCACAGAACCGCTCTCAACCAGAGCCATTCGTATTTCTTACACCTTTGTAGACCCCGTAGCTCAGTGGTAGAGCGTGAGATTCCAGACTATTGGAGTTTCCTCAAGGTCATCCGTTCAATCCGGGTCGGGGTCATACATGTTAGATTTTTTCCTCAGTTGCTTTTGCTAATTTTATGATTATGCTTCCTTCTCCTACACCTTAAACAACATATTTATCCTTGCATACTTTCTCACACACTCCGTGTGCGAGCTACATACAGTTCGCAACCACGACGTTACACTTTCAACGCCACGTAGGTTTGCGGATCGTTACGGAAGAACTAATTTTTCCCTGCCTCGAGGCCGAAATGTTGACGGAAGCTAATGGTTACAGCAGCTAGGTAATTTCATTCAGGGTTTCCTTCCAACGTCCCGAATGCCATTGCTGGATACAGTGTCCTGTGCGTCCTTCTCAGAGCTCTGTACTTGTTCCAGTCGGTTCGTCGAGGTTGAGCGCCGTCGTAAACGTTCATAGGGCGGCGCGTAACACGTGAGAACTTCGGTAGAATCTTGAATTGCAAATCTCAGGCTTGTTTACTTGTCTTTGTTTGCATTTCCCGGTTTGAATTCTGTTCTGATTACATACACAGGATATATACATTGGCGATTGAGGCACTTAACGACGTCAGCCTTCGTCATAACTCTCATCTCCTTTTTTTTTCCAAACACCCTAAGAGCTCCAGACCGTACAACGTCACTGCTCAACGAATTCGAAGAGAGCGAAAGAGCAAGTGCGTCACAATTTGTATTCAAGGTAAATGCCCATTATCGGTTAGATTTTCTTTGATTTTCTTGGTCGTGAGCTTTGTCGTCGTGGGGTATAACCTCGAAAGTGATGACGACACTCTATGATTTACCTTTTTGTTTCTATGTTGTTGAGCTTATCGTCGTCGAATGTTCTATGTTTTTTTTTGTTGTGCGCGTAGGTTGCATGCTCAATCCAACAAATAATCATCTGCACCTCGCTCTCATTCTACAATCTCGATTGTCTCGTATGTTATATGCACAATGTATGAACGCTCACCATTGTCGTATAGCAACTTAGCATGGTCTCAAAACCGAGAAGCATATCAGGCTCACCACCACCCTCGGCTTCTTCATCATCTTCAAAGCAGCCTCCATCTATACAGCGTCAAAATCGTTCTGATTTCGACTTGGAACCAAATCCATTCGAGCAGAGTTTTGCTCCGAGGTCTGCCAATCACTCTAATGTCCGTGGAGAACGAGCAGCAAAAGACAAAACCGGCAGAAACGGTAAAAGTGACAAAAAAGTTCAGATAGAGGATGATCTTGGACCTCCCTCTAACGAATCTATCCTCACTATTAAATCCGGCTCATCTGCCGATCGGGAAGCCGATGACCACCAGCAACGCCCGCAAAGCCGAACTGCATCCGTTCCCAACTCCAATGTCTCGAATAATGGTAGTATATCTCCTCGACCTATGCTCCCTCCAGTCGCAGCCATATCCTCTCCAGCTGATCAATCATCTTCATTCGGACATCCTTGGGCTGCAACTGGGTTTAACTCGAGTTTGAGAAGTGGACCGTTGAGCCCAGCCATGCTAACTGGACCTCAGGATCCTAATGCCCCTTCGTCGAATCTTTCGAATCCTCTTTCAACTCTTGCACCACCAGGACTGCAATTTGACCCCTCTTCCTTCCGTACTGGTCTCACTCCACGCACGGGTCTGACTCCTAGAACAGGGTTGACTCCTGCACTGAATGGCTTAAGCGGGACGGGTCTTACACCACTCGTCGGTGGTCCAGTATCGTTCCCTGCTTCTCCAGGTACAGCTGCCTTCCTAGCTCTGATGCATAACAGTGGTATGAACAACTTGAATGGCGTCAATGGTGTCGGACCTGGCGGCACCATTACACCTAATACACTTAACGCCATTACTGGGGTCTTGAATAATTCTCAAGGCCAGATCCAAGGTCAGGGTCAGTCAGGGCAGGGTCAGCAGCAACAGAATTCTTATACCAACCCGCCCACAGTACCTTCACATCTCCATCACTCACATACCCATTCGAATAACGAAAACACCAACCCTCACAACAACTCATACCTCGATAGCGCGAACAATGCTACGTCGACAGCTGCCAACGGTCTGTTCCTTCTCAGCCAAGCTCATCAGGAGCTTACCAAGAGGGAGGAAGAGCAGGCGAGAGCGAACTCCGCTCAGACAAACGCCAATGGGAACTCGAACGGCGCAACCGGGAAACGTGGATCCAAACGGAAAAACTCAGAGGCAATAAACGGCAACGCCGGTACGATCACAAACCGGTCGTCGAAACGTGCCAAACCCTCAGGTGGTAGACGAAAACAGGCGAGTCCGGAGTTTGAGGAATTCGATCCGGAAGATGATGGAGATGACGATGACGATGACGAAGTTATGAGGGAGATGCAACAGCAGCAAACGACAACAGGCGGAAGAGGGAGGAACAAAAAGCCAGAGACAGAGGAAGAAAAGAGAAAGAACTTTTTAGAAAGGAATCGACAGGGTAGGTCCTACCGTCTCGTCTTACGTCTTTGGCTTGTGAACCATTTTACTTAATTATGACCCAACAGCTGCACTAAAATGCCGTCAGCGTAAAAAGGCCTGGCTTGCTCAACTGCAAGCAAAAGTCGAATACCTTTCTCAAGAAAACGAGCGACTAACGTCCGCTCTCGTCTCTTCGAGAGAAGAGATATCTCGTCTATCGGCCCTGGTGGGCGGAGCGGGCATCAGTAGTGTCAGTGTCGGAGGACCTGGAGCAGGAGCAGGCGCGGGATTGATAAATTTAGGTAAAAGCAACCTATTCTCAAAAAAGAGCTTGGAAGGGCTGAACAAACATGGTCTAGGAACAGTTTCATCAAATGCATCACAGACAGTGCCAATTAGTATGGGCGTGGCCACTTCTGGTAAGGGAGGTGGTGTAGCGGTTTCCCAGACTGTCAATGCGGGCGCGGCGAAGCAGACAGGCGGGTATGGGTATTGAGCAGTTCCCTTTCGTTAAGGACACATCGCTCCTCGTTCGTGTTGCGGTTCTTATGTCCTTCCCTCATCGTCCCCACAAATCATATGGCCCATCTCCATTCCACGATCATATGATCCTCCTCTTTTGCCTTGCTCCTCGCTCTTCTGTCACCTCGTCCGCAATTGACAGTGTGTCCAACTCTCCCAATCTCCTTTTGTCCCCCAATATCATGCCGAATCCGCCTGGTCAGCAGGATCTTCACAGGCATCTTTGTCTCTTATATCCACACCGTCGTTGCTTTTTTTCGTCGGCTGTGGGTTTTTATGTGTTGGGCTTATTACGGCTTTTTTGCGATGTTAATGATGTATTCCGCTCGATATTTCTCCCGATACGCCAATTATATATAAGGACATGGTTTTTTGGTGGCTGTAGGCAGCAGTGATTTCTTTATCGCACATTTTCTCTTCCTCCCCCTCTCCCTCTCCCACCCTATGTTTTCCTACAAGTAGAGTAGAATATGAACGTTTTACTTTACCTTGATTTCGGTCTCGATTTCCTCCTCCTATCCATTGTTCTCCCCTTATCTGAATCGTCTCCACTCCCCCTCCGAGTACCTGTCTTTGTGTCATGTCTGTTTCTCCACCGATTGTCCCAATATTCTTTCCATTCAGACTTTTTTTCTCCCCGCCCTGTTTCCGTAGCCTTCTCCCCGACTCTCATCTCCCCTCACCCATTGTCTCTTCAAGTCCGATATCTTGAAAATTTAAAATTGTATGTACTCTATTCAACGGTAGAACACGCTGTACGCCGATATACATAAACGATCCATTGTAAAATGACAGAATACCAGATAACATTCAGAAGACGAATATTTCTCGGTGAGTACGTACATACACTGTAGATCCCTCGGATGCTTCTGAACCTGTCCCTCGAGCTTCAAGGCTCAATTTTCTACAATATAGTGTCACCCTAGGGCTTGGAGGCACTGTCCCTATTTGCTATTATAATCCCGTCGAACCGAAATTCTTGGTGTCAAAAAATCTCCTCAAGTCAGAGAGAAAAACTTGGTCATATCGAGCATTCGGGACCTACTATGTAGTAGAATGTGGTAGATATCATAGTATCGGCAGAAGGAGAAGGGAGGGACTTCTGAATCTGGAAGAATGCGAGGAGTATCCACAGACGGGCGCTCAACATTGGTAGGAATTCTTTGCGCAGTGTAATTTTACTTCACTCTATCACCTTGCTTGCTAGAGCTTGCTAGGTCCTTTGCCACCCCGTCTTTACCAAGCGCCCGTGCATTTTTTTCACACGTTAGGCGCTTTAATGTTGTTTTCAGCCATTTCAACAGATTCTATTCTCTGTTTCTATAATCTGGCTCATATCCTTGCTTGTTTTTCCATCCTTAGTACTTACAGTATCCATGTGAAAATTGAAATCAAGCAAGGTTTATCGTGCCCCGCAGGGGTCCGCTAGTACATACAAGGTAACCTTTTTGACCTTGCATTGCTTGTTCTCCTTATGCAGCATTGTATACGTACGACGTAGTGATTGCAGAATAGAAATTCTAATCATGGTCCGATATGGTGTAGTGGCTAACATTATATCCTCTCATTTATTGTACGCGATAGCCCGGGGTTCGATTCCCCGTGTCGGAAGTTGACTCGAGACTCTGGTCATATTTTTTTTTTCATCGCAGAGAGAATTCATGAATCTTCACAGCAGATGTCTGTATTAAATGAATAACTACTCTACTTCATTTCGAGCCTTGTCTTCCTACCTCGAGAATTCTTCCCTCAATTAGCTTAGCAAACGTGTCCAACCCCAGTAACACTCCAACATCAGGACCTTGCCCAGGAACGAATCGCGTGTGCGCGAAGTCGATGAGGGATAAAGCATATGGTGCAGACGGTTTCCGGCGATGGGACTTCGAAGAAGGTTTGGATTTGGATTTTGAAGCGATGTTAGTCTCGTCTGTTAACGCGCTAGCGCTATCGGGGCTAGGTTCGTGCGCAGACACATTCTCGTTGTCTTCGTCACTGGACGTATCTCCTTCATCATCATCGTCACTATCAATATACTCACTATCATCGTCTTCATTCCCTTCGACATCAGCCTCCTGTCGTATTCTCTCCGTAATCTTGATTTCTCTCTCCTTCATCCACTCAACTCCCTCCCGTGCCCTCTGTTCGTCTCCTTCCCATACTACCAGCAAACTGCCTCCGACCATGCGTAGTTCGACTCCCTGCATAATTGAATGGAGGTGTGTAAGCGAGGTATAGATTGAGCGTAAGATCGGAAGAAGAAGGTCAGGAGGAAGACCAAGGTCTGTGCGAAGCTGTTTGAATGTGGAATCAGAGTATGGGACGTTCGAGGAAGCGGTCGAGGAGGTGTAGGCTTCGAATGGCGTGGATGAGCCGGAAGACGAAGCAGATCCCGCAGCAGACGTAGTTTCAGGGATAGCGATGGGGACAGGTTCACCCAAAACTGGAAATACTCTCCTCATTCCCTCAGGGAGCTGTTCTTTCTTGAGTGACTTGCCATATAATTTAGTTGTGATTATTGGAGTGAGTTGTTTAGAAACTGCGTTCGTGCCGGTGTTCACAGGGGAAGCGGAAGGTTGAGGATGAACCTGTGACACAAAGAGAGTGCAATGATATGAACAAGCACAAATGAATAAAAGTTGAAGAGGAACGGAAGTAAGAAGATATATGCGTCCGAAGTTCGAATCGTTAGCTTGAAGATCTTAGAGAGACACGTCGAGAAAACTACAAGGGACAGTACTTACTTGAAATCCAGTTATTCGTATCCCGCACACTCCGCTAGTTGTTTCTCTGGCCGCCTTTATCATCCGAGCCTTCTTGGCCTCGCTACATTCTAGATCTAGCTCATCATACAAGACAGTGCCGAGCTTGAGATCAAGGACGTTGGGTTTAGTGAAAGAGTGGAGAAGATTTGATAACACTAGATGCTGACGTGAAGATTTGTTTAGGGCAACAGCGTCGACCATAGCATTCGATGTATCCTTGAACATCATCGCTCCAATGCCTCCGTCACCAATGTCCTTCGAATCCGCATTCAACGTCTCTACATCGATACTTTCTTCCCTCAATGTCCCATAGAACTCTGGCACGAATCTGCTCAATCGTTTAAGGTTCTTGAGACCGTGTAAAGTTCGTTCGTTGAGTGCTCCTTCATTGCCGACCCCATCTCCCTCGCCTCCTGCCAAACCCATTGAATCCATAGCCCTCGCCTGCGCCATGAGTGTGTAAAATTCATGTTCTAATGGTAATGCCGGTTTGATGAGAAGTGACCCATCTTCGGTCAATTGGATCGAGTTTGGATGGCCACCTACTTGAGAAAAAGACATACAGCTTGTGAACGCTCAGGAGGTTAAAGACATGTACTACTGTGTATATATATTGCAATGTTACATGCTGACAGTGACACTGTACAGCAACTAATCAAGCAAAAATAAATAACCAGCATGTTAAAAACACATGACCCCGACCCGGATTGAACGGATGACCTTGAGGAAATTCCGCTACTCTGGAATCTCACGCTCTACCACTGAGCTACGGGGTCTGTGATCAGACACCCATATTGCTCGTACTAACTTGATTAACTGGATAGTCCAACAAGTTTCTCGTTTGCTAAGTATCTACAAAATCCGAGGGAAGATTATTTTTGCCAATTGACATACGAACGCATACATACTTGCTTGCGCTCGAGAGGATTGTCTCTGGTAAATCTCGGTGTTTGCCGATATGCATTGAATGTTGATCAATCGATCAATTTTCCCATCGTTTCCACCAATTTCTCCTGTTCCTTGCTTTGTCTTTCTATCTTTCCTCTGTCTTCGTCGTCTTTCGGATTTTCTCCAATCGACCACCTTCGCCGCTTCTCTTCTGGCCTACGTTGCTAGTCTCCTACACGCTCTTTTGCTCAATCTACGTTCTTTGATTCGGCTTGTATAGGGTTTTAAATCTACCCTATAACTCCTCATACACCTCACTACCACAAAACAGCTATTTGTTTGTTTGGCCCTTCGATTTGTCGCGGTGTTATAGACAGAATTACAGGACACGTAGTACATTGAAGATAGTATGCCTCGTCAACCTGGTATGCAGTTCATTCGATTATTGGCCTGTGCTAATTTGAACTGCTGCTGTGCTTTCAGCGCCTCGTCTTCACCGCTTACCACAGCGCTTGGACTATACTCTTATACCTGCGCCTTTAGGTACATTGATGGCTTCAACCTAAATTCTTAACTACCATACTCACTACCATCAATATTTCCCATCCGTTCATGACAGATCTCTCCCTGCCGCTCGCGTCAGAAAAGTCACCTCTGCCAGCAATCATTGTCACCCCGTCCTCGCCTTCCTCTGCACACGACTACAGCATTGCTTTCCTTGCCCCACCAAAAGAACCTGGTTTCTTCGAAAGGCTCGGCGCTAGATTGCAGTAAGTCTTCCTCATTCATTCATATTGTACGCATAACAACCAATTTATACTTTCTCTTTTTCTTCTGATCCAGCTGGACCAAAGCCGCTGCCGCTGCTGAATCCAATCCCAATGCCTCATTCGGGGTCGGATTACGCGCCCAAACCGCTCGTACATTACTCATCCTCTTCCTCATCCTCTTCGTAATGCTTACCCACGTCGTCACTCACCGGATGGCACAAACGTCGAGACGGCCGCATTTGGATTTTTCGGTGCAAGATTCGAGCCCGGCTCCCGTCGCTGCGTCGTATGTATTGGGTGAGATTGGTGTCAGTGAGGGCATGGATGGGTTATCAAATGGTTCAGGTGGTGTCGATCAATTTGAGGGATTTGAAGGAACTGACTCGGTCCCTTCCTCGGCAATGGAAGGTGGACATAGAAATGGGTTTGGAGGGGTTGCTCAAGGTCACGGACACAGACACGCCCATGGTGGTTGGTTCGATCTCAGTCGTTATTGGGGTGATGACCAAGAGGAAGAAGACGAAAAGAGAGACTTCATCGTTTTTGCCTGAGAGGTTTCAAGTACGCTATCTCTGCTGTCTTATCTTCTGTACGTACGTACGACCTCCTCCACGCATCGCCCACATTCTTGTCCCTACTTCCTTTGGTCCGAGACCCTTTCCTTCGGTCCGAGACCTGTAGACTTGCTTGGTTCGAGCCTCCCTTCCCCATCTACTGATGCCTCTTACCTACACCTTCTCCTCACCCCCACCCTTCCTACTCCTCCTCTTGCAACTAAGTCCCTACGCATGTCCCCGATAGGGAACCTGCATTTTTTCGTTTCGTTTGGTCATTATTTGGGTATATAAAATTAAAAAGTTCTCTGTTTACTTTATACTTAACGTCTGCTATTGCAATGTCGTTGTTGACGAAGCGTTATCCGTTGGAATTAATGGAAAGTTTTTTTCATTCTTGTTAGAATATTCTTCCAATGGAATCAGTTCTACTTGATATTTCGAAAATCGGGGGAATTATGTACTACTTGCAGACCGGATTTCAACTCCTACGTATTGTCGTTATTTCTTGATGATATTTATCACGTTCAATTCTTGCCTTACTGTGTTTGATGTCTTTTTATTCAATAATCCGAAATTAGAGAGAGCACAGTAATACCCGGAGCCGGACCAGCTGATAGCTCTCTCTAACAAAACAATCCATTGAATAGAGCAACTTGAGATGGCAAAGGTAAAGAAGGATCGAGGAATACATTTAATGGACCGTAACAGTTGTATGAGCGCCTATGAGCGCCCAGAGAATCCGTAGCCAGTCCATTCTCCAGAGATAGGAGAGGATCAACTGTCAGTAAAAGAAAAAATGGATATGAGAAAGATACACTCAAGTACTGACCTCATCCTAGTTTTCGAACGATACAAAAACGACCACCTTCGAGGGGCTACCCAAGTCGAGCGGGAAAATAGCCAGGATTGTCCTTACCCTCCTGACGGTAGGTCCTCTTCAGGGAAGCCATGGATAGTACTAAACGCAGAGGTGCTGTGACTTGAAAGCGATCTAACCGACATCTGGATACTGACGAGAAAAGGAACGAATGGGTTGTGGACAAGCTTTTTGAACATTCCGTTACAAGCGCCCCTAAGCGCCCGCCGTAACCTGCTGTTGCGTCTGTGACCTGCACGTTTACGCGTTCTTGCTTGTTATTTGAATTTCTGCTCTAAGACTTGAGCAGTCCTCGAAGAACTGGCTTACATCAAAGTAATCACGACGCCCGCAAAATCAAGTAATATGTACAACATCATTGTCTATGTATAACACCAATATTTACATCCGTTCTCAATCCTCCTTCAAATTCTTAACTTCCAAACAGTACTAAGTTAATAATCCTCCGCTGGAGTATCACCACCCCCTTGTTTCGCTCCAACCTTCCTAACATACATGCTCATAAACATTCCAATACTCCAATCAATCCAATGCCGTCCGTGCAGTCTCTAGATCCTCTCGATCCTCGCAGACCATGTTGCCCCAGGGATTATGTACTTCTGAAATCAGAAATAGAATACATAGAAAAGCGGTCTGTTCATAGGTACATGTAGGTGCATGTGTACACACTTCCGAATCGTTCTCAACGCCGGTTACTTTCCGCCCACGGTGGACCCGTGCAATTAAATCCAACAGGATCCACCACACTATCACACAGGTAGTTCACCGGCCTAGTCCCATTCACCGGATCCACAATCCCATTCTCCACATCCTCAATCTCGATCCCCGTACATGGACTCGCCGCACTACACTGCATACTCCCCACTACGGCACTACTAGCGAACCCCTTCCACTTTTCCACCTTGATATTCCTCAAATTGAATTTCGAAGTATCGCAGTTTCCTGTAATTCCATTGTACGACGTACATTGTGTGATCAAGAATATACCAGTGGCGTTGTGGAGGGTGAAATCAGTGAATGTGATGTTGGAGATGAAACCTAAGCCTCCACCACCCCCATTAGGTGGGTAGCCAGTGGATATACCGGTCCAGGTTTTGACGTAGGCACCGAAGGGCATGTTGGTGATGGAAATGTTGCGGGCGGTTACATTTTGGATTGTCTCAAAGGCTCCGTCTGAAAGTAGAGCATTGAAAGTGAACCAGGCGAGTGAAGATAGATATTGAAATGCTTACCATATTGACCAATACTACCAATTGCAACACCGAGTCCGGTGTAGAAATTACAATTTTCGATCAAGATGTTCGTGCTGTTTGCTTTCATTGCAATTGAATCGTCGCCGTTTTCCACTGTCCAGCCACGAAAAGTTATGTTGTTGGCGTACACCGTGTCCGCGCCGTCCGTCTGCGAGGCAAGGGGTGAAATGCAACGCGAAATATTTCAGAGCGGGCTCACGTTAACGATGAGAGAGTAGTTGAATCCAGGACCATGTTCAGTATCGGTGTTGTTGACATAAATATTCTCGAGGAGAATGTTTTCTGAATGGATCACTGTCATCGTCCTGTGTACAAAGATAAGAATTTGCCGATCTAGAGCTTCAGTACACTAATACTGGCTCACCACATCTGGCTCTGGATAAATCGGATTCCTTCGAAAACACTGTCCTTTGTTCCGGTAATGGTAATTTGATGAGGTCTCCCAATTAAATTGCTCGTTCCATTGTTGAAATCATACCACACTTGCCCGTTCCCATTCAACGTTCCATGACCATGGCCGTCCCATCTGATATCCTCGCCCCCAAAAAGCCATGCACTAGTCTGATTCTGATAACCAACTGGGAGAGAATTGTTCAACCAGTATGTAAGGTTGGAATTGTCCCAAGAGAGAGTTCCTTGGAGATCGATATCGAGGTTCGACAAGTTAGTAGTGTTCATCACTGTTGCGACGGTATATGTCGTGTTTGTAAAGATGACTCTGCCACGAGATTTGGAAGAGGAAGCAGAGTTACGTCCGCAACGTTCGAACGCATCAATTATAGCTGGTGCAGAGTCAGTTCCATTAGGTGCAGGGACAACGACGCAAATGTTAGATGTTTCGATAGTGGAAGAGACATCTCCACCTTGCGTGAGTCGGGATAAAAGCAACAGTGACAGCAAGCTTGTCGTCGTAATTCGAAGTACTGTTTTGAGCATGGTATCAAGAAGATGTTCAGTGGGATATACATTGAGTGAGGCCTTATATATGTCTGCATTTCATAATGTCCTGGATTTTCGTTACTTGCATCATACATGTACCGTATAAAAGCTGCACCAGATGACTGAGGTCATGCACAAAGAAGAATGGCCGGGTGGATATTGGGGGAAGAAGGAAAGATGTCAATAAAATTGGTTGAGCTCTTCTGTACACATTGACATCATAGAGTTTGTGTCAGGGTGGAACTTGGAACATACAAATAGATGAACAGTATCGAAACCACATCTCATGGTCTGTTGAACGGCGCACTTGATGGAGGTGGGTGATTGAGAATTGCGGTCCGGGCCGCTAGAACACTTATGAACTCACGCCTACCGCTCTGTCTTCGTTTTCTCCGATGTTCGCTGTCACGATTCAAAACGTTCAGATCTCAGACTAAAGATGGATTTGCGCGGAACCATCCCAAAACCTAGGACTATCATTGGGTACGAAAAGGGAGCATCGTGGACTAAACACTTGAGGGTATCGTAACCGGTTAACGACTCGAAAACGTGAAGCTTTGAAGCTAAGTCTTGAGTTGTGCAGTCGTTGTCTGGTATTCATGGCGTTGATATACGATAGGCCAAGCAGCGTACAGACAATCCATAGGTGGTATAGGTTTACTGTTATTTATTTGCTCGCACTTATCGTCCGCTATACAGGTTGATTTCATTGAAACGGAAGCTGGAGAAGTAAAAGTTCAGTTTGATATAGTAAGTATTCACGCAGGGAATCATGGTTGGTGAAAAAATGCTACATTGAAAATAAATAACAAGAAGAGGATCGACAGTCGGTACAATGCTACATCTTTGCCATTACTACAACCGGAGGAGCAACACCTCCGCCTTTCCCGAATTCCGCCTCACCTGTACCTAAAAACCACTTCGTAGCTTCTCTCACTTCGTCCAACCACTCCTTCACAACTTCCCGTTTGTAAACATTCTCATCCCAGAACACATTCAAACTGAGCCGTCCTCGAGCAGTTGCAGCACCGAGATAAAGCTCAGTTGGGCGACAGCGCAGACGTGTAGTAGCTTTGATGAGGTGAAGGATCGGAGCTGACTCAGCAGTTGCAGAATGAGGATAATACGGTGGTACTAAATGATCAGACTAGGAACAATAAGGAGGAGTACAGCAGATGAATAAAAGAACATGGTTCAAAAACAGCACACCCACATTTCCGAAACTTGAACCTCCATGTGCTATAACAGCTCCTCCTCCAGCTTCAGGTTGCTCGAGCGGTGGAATCAACGCATCACTTCCAACCTCAGGTCTAATGATATCATTTCGAAAAACTAGTGCCGCGTGTCTGCATCTCTTGATACGCATTGGTATCCTTGCAACATGTATGTCCAAAAATCTTGGGTGATGAAAAATTTCTGAAGCTTGACTCCTAATGTTGTTGCATCTCAGAAGGAATCGTGCCCTGGATAGCATTTTTTCAAATGGCGGGATTTTGATGTCGCCGGATGAAATTCCCTCATTATTTCCGTCTGCCAATTCACCTACCTCCCCGATTGGCATGAAAGGGAGAGTGAAAAAGAAATAGCTGATACTCAGACAAACATTTCCTGCTCCACCCCTGGAGTACCAATTCTGATCGAGGTAGGGTCGGAGGTTTGCAGGACCTCCAGTCATCATGGGTTCGCGTCGACGATAGGCCCATTCATCGTCGTCGATGTCTTCACTCGAATCAATGCGAATCCCTTGCCGTTTTTTTGACAAAGTGCGCAGTCGTCTGCGCAACAAGACGCGAGCGACCGCGACTTGTCCCAGGACAGGATGTGCGTTTCCAAATGTTATTCCGAGTTGTTTACACCTGCCAAGAATAGTGGCTGTTTCAGACGGGGTGAAGGAGTAGGTGATGTAGGAAGATTGAGCTGGTGTGTAAGTGGTGGAAGGCCGAAGAATGCGAGGGAGGGTATGTCCACCCTATAAAGTCAGGATAAGATGCAATATATAATACAAAACAAAAGACCAACCGAAAGTTTTGCACTCCTTAATTCAAGAAGCACCTTCCCCAATATCCTGTGCCATCTCCGCTTGGCTTTGGAGTAGTTAGGTGTTTCATCAGGATAAAGTGCTTCTGAAGATATGCTTAGCTTGAGACGTCCCTCCAATGCTCCCTTATCTGGGACGTTAACTAGACTATCCAGACCGCTCCCACGAGAGAGCAAGTCCAAGAATTCAGATAAAAGAGTTGAATTTGCAATGCCATCCGTGATCAGATGTGCGGCGTGGATCATTACATGGAACGTCGACGGACAATCGGTACGCCGAATGAAAAAAAGACATGCTGGGAGGGAGTTGGATAGAAGTCTTGACGAAAAAGGTCTACCTTGAGGGATATCTCCTTCTTCCCAAGCCTGTACATCTCGCCACCCGAATCCGTTGATAATTCCTTCCGCTAAAAATTCTACTTCTTCCTCTGAGTCACAGGAGAGAAACACTACCTCCCGCGGGTGAGCATGTGGAGATTCAGCTGTATATAGGCGTGCTGGATCTACAACAAAATATATGTGTTCCTTGGGAGTACTTTGTACGGGCCCGGAAGATAAGTCTTCGGCTTCGTCAACTGGTGGGAGGGTCATGGAAATGGGAACAGAATTTTTAATCGGACGCTCTTCAATGATTGCACCAAGGAGAGGATAACGAGTCTTGAGAGTGACCCATGCAGCGTGTACGTTTTCCCTGCTCTGAGTCTACATGATAAGTGTGAGTACCAGGAGCAAACCATGATGAGGTTCATTGAAGAATTCACATTCAGATGTGTTTGTGGTTGCGATTGAATTGTTTCTTCAACGGTAGCATGCTGTAGAGTATCTGCTGTTCCCCGATATGCACTGTCCCAGTAAAATCCAAGTTCGTTTGGGCCTAGAAGACGCTCGTAGTAGTATCTACTGTGCAATGGGTTGTCGGAATTGCTCTTCGGAGTGCGCAACGTCCATGTCGATATTGAAGATCCAGGCGTATGGTCCATGGTTGAGTTCCTCCCAAACTTTAGTGGGTTTGTTTCCAAAAAGACAATCGCGACATTTCAGTTCGTTATGGGAAAGTGGTTCGGAATGCATCCGATTCGGATTCCGAAACATCCGACTTCACCTTTCTATGTAAATGAATTGCAGCCAATGATTATACGGTATGTTCTGGTATGTTACTATATACTAAGCGAGTCCAGACAGGTACAGACATCACAGAAGACGAACATACCACTTCGGGCCTTTCATTCCTATTAGAAAACTTACACCCGGTGCCATACCAAATTCACAGGGAACCCGGGCTCGAGTCTGTAGTAATCGAGTTAGAGGAGAAATACACCTCGACCGCTTCCATCAATGAAGGTCTCTGACCCGTACCATCTGCATACGCCACTGCTCTTCGTCTCCATTCCAAAGTCCTAAGGAACGAATCTCCCTCTAAGTTACCTTGATCCGCAAAATTTGGAGGTCCGGGCTGGAAAAGTGGATGGGAGGGATTGAAAGGATTTTTTGATGATGATGATGGTGCTGAGACCCCATTTGAACTTGGTCTCGGCCCCACGGCGTTATCCCTTTCGTCTTCGGGATCAGGGGAGTAATGGAATGTCGATGTAATCAGAGGAATTTCCCTTGTTTCATCCTTTAATGTTGTTTCATTACCGTGCGAAGCCAGCATACGTATAACCTTGGGCTGCGCAAACGTCAATGAGCTCGTCGTATCCACGGTACTCTGTGTGGCATATGTATTACTTGTGTTCCGAGTATCATGCGTGTCCCGTGAATGCAGCGAGTCTTGCGAAGCGCGAAATATTCCAGACGCGTTTTCATAAGGTGAAGAAGGTTGTGAATCGACAATATTTGACTTGCTAGATTGAGATGTGTGGGTCCGTGTCAAATTGAGAGACCTGGTGGAGGGTGTTATAGGTGCAGTTTGAACATACGAGTCCGTTTCTGTATCGCGACGCATGAAGGGGATATACTCCATCCCACTGGCGCTATAAGTGCTGCTACCCGTCGTGTCACGAGTATCAGTACGCACGATGGGTATATATCCTCGCTGGTCTGGTATTTGAACCTCGGTGTCAAGAACATCAATCAACCTATTATGCGAGACGGGCTCCAGATAAGAGATCTGGTCACTAACATCCGTGTCTGTGACAGACGCAGTTGCAGGGACGTCTTGGACAGGTGAGATAGAGGGATTTCTGGACGATGAGTTGGAAACACGATAAAAGGTGAAGGGAAACGACGGAAAAGGAGTATGATTCCGAGAAGGAGTAAAATAAGACGATGGAGGAGAGGAGTGCGAGATAGGCGTAGACCATGAAGATGGTGGCAAGGTATGTTCGAGTTCACGGTTGTCGCTTCCACTTCGATGGTTTTGCCTGTCTAAAGGCAAGTGCGTGCGTTTTGCAACAGAGGCAGCCAAGGTAGATATCGGACCACCACGAGTACGTCTCCCTCCTTCAAAATGATTGTTCAGACCTTCCTTTTCGTCATCTGAAAACAATGCACCCAAGTTGTTGTTGTGGCTCAAATTATTTGTTACCCCGACCCGGCCTACGACTGAGGCTGCAATCGCGTAGACCGACCTCTTTTCGGAACTACTTGGTACCTCGTTCTGGTTCTGATGCCACCTCTTCTCCTCGTTAGACGTTTTAATAAGCCCTGGTTCACGATTAGTAGAAGTCGGGATATTATTTCCAGGCTCAGCAAGCCTCCACCACGCTGCTGGTGTCTCGCCTAATTCCAGTCGTTGTCCAAAAACGTTCATTCCTCTCCTAAGTTGCCTTCGGCGGCAAAGATAGAACGAGCTGATGAGAAAGAGGAGGAATATGAGAGGGAGGATAATAGACAAAATTGTGGACAAGTGATTGGGATGTCTGTGCAAAATGGAGAAAAGGTAAGGTAAGGCTCATGGACGAAAACCAATGTGATGGATTGCGGTAGACTTGCCTGGACAATCCTGCACCGGACCCAGATCCGATCCCACTTACACCTGAAGAGCTCGATGCAGGTGCTGAAGAAGTCCGGCTTGAGGTTGAACCAGTACTAAGTATGATGATATGAATTTTGGTTTTCCGATTTCGATGAATAAAATACTGACCTCAGAGTGCTACTCCCACTACCTGTAGTAGACAAATTTTCACTCGTTCCTGGGCCTGTGCCCGTCCCGCTGATAATACCGGAAGAATGAGCAAGTGCAGATGACCCACTGCTTGTAGCCGAGAAGGAACCGGTGATAACCGGAGAGGATGTAGTGGAGAAGGTTTGAGACGAAGAGATAGTGCCTGAGGAACTGGTATCGCTTATACTCATAGATTGGGAGCCACTAACGATTGAAACCGATTGAGTTGCACTGGATGTAGAACTAGTACTTGTTCCACCATTCGAAGATTGGGAAATCGTCGAGGATACGGGGGATGAAGTCAAGATTGGGCTTGAGGTCGTGCCGGACGGTGAGAGATTAGAAGATGATGATGATGACGTATGATTGGGAGTTGCGGGTGAACTCGTACCGGTTATAGATTGAGTGGAAGGTGCCGAGGTGCTGGGTGACAAGGCGGAAGTGCTCTGAATCGTGGTTGAGCTTGTGACAGTCGTGGATTGAGTCGAAGATAGCGGGGGGCTTGTAGAGGTGGAAGCAGGAGGGGAAGTAGACGATAGAGAAACCGATGATGAACTTGAAGTGGAACTCGGAGGAGTGGTAGATGAAGATATGCTCGTACTCTGAGAAGATGATGAAGTTTCCGAAGAAGTCATGGAGCTGCTTGAAGATGACTGAGTCTCAGACGACGAAGGCGCCGTAGAATCCGTAGAAGTTGACACCGGCGAAGTAATCGTAGACGACGACGTCGGCGTAAAAGACGGTACACTCCTCGTTGACGTGATCGGGAATGATGGTGGTGGGACCACAGTGCTACTAGCAGAGGATGTGATTGTGTTTGTGAAAGTGAAAGCCGGAGTGGTCGACGTAGAGTCGGTGGTCAGCGGAAAAGTCAAAGGTGCGTTGACAAGTGAATTTGACGAGTCCCGAGGAAGAAGATAACCAATGACTTCCTGACATCGAGCAATAGGAGTTATTGACGCCTCAGCTTTCCATGTTTGCCCCAGAGTCTCTCCCTCCACTCTGTGGAGAAATAGAGAAAGAAGGAACGCGAAAGTCAGAATGTTTCTGAACAGTGTGATCCCTTTGTCCATATTCATTCTTCACCCACCACTTCCATCGCCACTGAAGCGTCGTCAAAAGGAAGCTGACAAGGGGCCAGAGTGTGTAGATGTAAGATGAGAACGGAATGTCATCAAATGTTTTTCATCGACTTGGACAGTGTGAATTTTTGAGGTTAAACTCGTAGTACTTGCCGCGGCTAGTATGAAGTTAGTTTTTACGGAAAATTCTCGAGCTTTCGTGAGAAATCCTCCAATTGTATTGATTATCTCTGCTTCAAGCTTCAATCACCATCAAATCCTCCAACCTCCGTCCTCAAGCGTCCAAAATTTCATTGAATTGCATCCACCATCTTGCAGATGCTCAGCCTTGCCTATGACACTATAACTATACTGTGCATATAGGCTGTCTCTCTTGATTAGTTCCTCATTGCACAATTAATTTAACTTCAGTTGTGTACTACACCAACTGAGAATTCATTCAGAATTGAGTCTTAATAGCAGTGTAAGTGTTGATGTAAATTGCAGAGATATTACTATAAGTACTACCAGATCCATAGTTTTTTGAATAACTTTAATAATTTTATTTCCATGGGTAACCACTTATAGTAAGTATCAAAGCAGAAAGTCCCCCTGAGAGTAGAAGCTCAAGAACATCCATGTCAATGGGGGAGGTATAGAGCACATTCAGAGGCAGTTGTTGCAATATTAGACCCATTTTCCTTGAGACACTACACAAAGTTGCTTGAGGTTCGACGTCGGACGCTTGACAACTCATCAATTGAAACTCCGGAATTTTCCGTGAAATCTGCCGTCATAGGCTAGGCTATCGCATCACCTGCGCATCGCAGAAGGACAGCATTGCCATTAGCTGGTAGAAGAGTATGTGTATTAGATACCAACTATGCGTGAACTTGTGCGACCAGCTTCGCAGCGAGCGGAGGAAATAAAATTCCCACGTGACGTCGACTCGAGTCTCGAGCTGCGCCGCTGCTGCGGCCACAGACAGATGACTCGAAATCATTGAAGCCCCTTCTGGGCTTTGTAATTGGATTCATCGATGAATGCATAAGAACCTTTGTATGTTCTGGAGTCATATTTACCTATTCCCTCCTACTCCTCAGCATCCTTTATCGGTGTATATCTTACAGTGGCCTTTGCTTGCGTTGATACGTAAGTCTGCTGGTGCTTGTCTCATCGACCAAGTCATTTTTGACCTTTGCCCTTCTAAGTCCAATGTCTTTAACCAACACGCTTGAGCCGATCCTTCGCCTACGGACTATTGTGGACTTTCCCAAAGTCCGTGAAAGACTCCGTTTAGAGCATGGCCCCGCTGCTCAATCTCCAGAATTGCTGGCCACGCAATTTCACAATGTTGAAGCAGATCAGATCGATTGTGATGCAGAAGTTCATCGATTACAATCCGAAATCCACCGCCTTCAATCGCATATCGCATTCCTCCAAAACCAACAGCATCATTTGGCAGACTACAAAGTCTGTCTTCACTCGCTCAAGTCACCTATACGCAGACTTCCCAGTGAAATCATGCTCCTTATCTTTGACTTTGCCTGTGACATGAATTACATCGCTTCAAACAGTCTGCGAACCATACCTGCGTTAGCCCTCAAGAATGTATGTTCGTATTGGAGGGATCTTACGCAATCCTGTCCACAACTATGGTCCCGCATGTATATAAAAAGGTCGAAATTTCCTCGTCATCTTCCAGGACTCCCTATCTTGAATCTGTTTCTTGAATCTTCCCAGCAACATCCTCTAACACTCAAAGTTAATGATTTCTGGTCATATGGGATGACGGAGTATTGGGTAGCTGTATGTGCACTTTTGAATGCACACCATTCCCGTTGGCAAAAAACCTCCTTCATCTTGACATCTGATTCGAGAAGGGAGCTATTTGGTGGAATTATAGGTAAAACCCATCCAATCCTAGAGACATTCGCCCTCAATGATAATGGCCTGGCTCATTCCGAAACGGTTTTCAATCAATTTTTAAATTCCCCGAAATTACGGTCGCTTTCTGTCCTATATCTCCGCACTCCATCGAAGGCGCAGCTGCAAAATACTAGGGTGGCATGGGCCAAGCTTACTACATTAGATATTCAGAGTTGGGACCGGGAACTTGGAAATGTTCTCAACATATGTTCCAACCTCAGAGAACTCCGAATCCACGATTCTTCTCATGTTGTACCACCTTTCGTGACCGAGAATTCCTCTGTTCAAACTTTATCACTTTCGTCGTATCGACATATGATTCAGAGGCGACCGGCCGATCCCAGTTTTCTGGCAGTCATACTGGTCTCTCTCACACTTCCTTCTTTGAGTTCCCTGCACATCAGGGGCACATCAGGATTTGGCAGGCCTGGGAGCAACCATACATGGCCTAGAGATAAAATGAATGATTTTTTGACTCGTTCATCTTCAAACCTAACAAATCTCCGCATAGAGCGCTATCCAATCACAGACTCCGACCTGATTGACCTACTTCACCGACTTCCATCTCTGCTCCATCTAGTTGTCGATGACTCCAAATCACTTATCACTCCAATCACCCTTCGCCTTGTAAGGGACTTGCATGCTTTCCGTCCCGGCGCAACTTCGGGTCACTTCGGTGCCATACCACTCAGGAGGCTACAGAGCCTTTCATTAACATTCAACGGAGTGGACAGCGAGAAAAGATCTTACCGTGACTTCGACAAGGCTTTTGTTGATATGGTATCTTCAAGATGGTTCCCAGAGAAGTATGCCCGCGTATACGGAATTGGTTCTACGTCGGGTACATCGCATGATCCTGAAGGCGGGGTAGCGTGTCTGCGTTCAGTAGTCATGCGTTTCCCGAAGCGAAATGTGCCTAAGAGGATTTATCAACCGCTGAAATATTTCGAGGAGGAAGGTATGCAGGTAACCATTATCGTCAAAGGTTCATTTTTGGATTTGTAGCCCATGACTGCTCATGAATGGTCCCATAGTTCGACAGCATAATATTCACTATGGTCCTACTGTAGAATTGGACACTAGTTTTTCATCCTTACATCGTACCCCAAATTTGCCTTCGTCTCCAAATGCTGTGTATATGTTTTCTCTTTTTCGGATCTATGTATATCTACATAACCGAGGTAGCGCCGGCAAGCGGCATTGCCCGCTACGTCGCATGTAAACAAAGTTCAAGCAAGTAGCACTGCGATGACTATGCCCATTTCCATGTACAGCGTAACAACGTAAAAAACAGTATTTTATACATGCAGAAATCCCATCATTCCTTCACAACGGTACTGACATCTGCGAAGGAAAGGATACAAAATGAGGGTAATTTCAATTTACAGGGTGTAGTTAGACGAACGGTGACCATCCACCCGTTTCTTTGCACGACGAGATTTATGTCTGGTTTGCTTCGCCTTCTGTTGCTCTGTAGCATAGTATAAACATTACGACTGCCAGAACATCATAGATACCCACTCATGTTTGCATTTAAACCAACCGGCGTATGTTGAGGTACGGACAATGTTTCAGTATCCAGTTTACGAGGAAGAGGGGGAGCCTTGCGGCCAGTTGTCATCCTAACCATGATTATCAGTTGACGGGGTGTCAACGTAGTCTTATATAATTTCTCCAATGTCAATCAAGTCTAACATAGTCTAGCGGGCCATCATATGGGTAAGACAATTACAACGAATGCCCCTGTAGTAAATTAAGCGAGGAGTTCTGCGATTCTCGTGAGTCTCCACGGATGGTCCAATTCACGATCAATGTTTTTCAAGATCCATAATAACTGAGACTGAATGTTAGATATTTCCGCAATAGCAGGATAATGCTCACATGTTCTGGAGGTTCAAGTCCCAACAACAAAGCTCTTTCGTAGCGTTCTAACCGAGTCGATCCAGCTCCAGGACCGTATGTGGAATCACTAGTGTAGCACGTAATCAAATACGAAATAGAAGAGTGTAGAGTCAATCTCACTTATCGAATTTTAATAATTCATTCAATACTACCAAATTTGAGGACTCGTAGCAGAATGGAAACCAGAACGATGTCGCGCCGATTTTTGAGACGATACGTGTCTCAGAATCAATCGGGATTCGTCGAATAGAATTCAGGCGTCGTTTTTTCAAGCGTCTCGTGCCTATGAAATATAGACATAGCAATAGTGCAAAAGTAAAGCTCACACCTTTCATCTTGTCCTTGCCTTCCAGATATTCATACATACTCCGGTTATCTGCAGATTGATGTTGGAATTTCATCGCCTTTCAGAAATTTGTTGTGAGATCCCATTTGCATTCATTGACTCTTATCTATTTAAAACGCAGACAACGTCATTACACGTATCACAAGCTATTTGAGAATGTCTACGACTCGTGTATATGAGACAAAAACTTGTGAAAAACCAATGGATCGTCGTTACATAGAAGCCAGAGCCCTATAGTCACATCAGTCTCGGTACACAAAAAATATTGGAAAGTTACCTAGATTCCTTCAAGGTGAGTTCTACACATTGCGTTGAAGCAAGGTCGTCACGACATAGAGGCCATGTCATTATAAAAGTCTCGGTTAAACCCGGTATAACATCGAACGTCGGTGTGGTCCTGGCCCGTTCAATCCATGCAGTAGAGACTCCGGCAAAGGCAGCAAACCCCACACAGTAGTCAAGTTGGTCCTTGAATGATAGTGCACAGATTTCGAACTTCGGTTCCCCGTCAGCGATGAAGCTTTTATAGATGTTGCACAGTATAAAACTGATATCCAAAATTCCCATTGCACCAGTTGAGTAAACCTTGAATGGCATGACAATGTCAGCGTGCAGCGGCACTCCGCGAACATTTAGCCAATATCGCGAACTTTGAAATATCATAAGTACTTCGACGTCAATTCCGTTTCCCGAGCATGGCCTAAGCGTATGTGAGATCGGCTGAACCGAACACAGTGAGCGTTAATCGGAAAACAGCACCGGGACGCACCAATGATTGAACAAATTCTTGTATCATCTTCGCTGGCAGAACATCATCCAACGAGGTAGTGGACAGTTTACCAAGCCATCGCCGCACAACGTAATTGCAAGACTTTAAGTGCGATCGAGACATAATATGAGCGCGGTCACTTTTGGCTAGTGACTGGAGCGGCCGAGTTGATAATACAATGGTAGAATACATCGGAAAAACCCTAAATTAGTTGACGTTGACTCTCAATAAAAGAGAGCATCTCTAACTCACCGCAACTGTCAGACAATTCTCGCAAATCCAACTCACAGGCAGTCTCATATGATCATAAACCTGCAATGTTTCCACTTCCCGGGTCCAAAGAAGAATCGAATACGATGTCATGGTAGATGAGACAAACAAGGGGGTTGTTAGATCTAAAGAGTGAGAACAGACTCATATGCTCATGACCACCTGCAGCGTGTTAGACTTTTGTTAACTTCCCGCAAACAAACATTGAATACAATGTCTTATCAGATACGACGTCATGGTAGATCAGACAAACAAAGTTCCCATCAACTTACAACAAACCCTACTGATTCTCAGAGAGCAGTAATTACACGTCAAATCTAATGTACACGGCTCTTTTCAACACGAAGAGAACGTATTCAATCCGTTCTTTAAAAATCGCAAACAATATTGAAGAGTATGTTATCATCAGCGAAATATAACGCTTTTTCTCTTAACCCGTCCCAATCAATTCTTCTTTTTGGATGCATGATATCAAGCGATATCGTCAACACAGACTTGTTGGACATGTCTGTGTTCAAGGACACATCGATCTACATAGTACATGAGCCAAATTATCGCATTGAGAAATCGTAACTCACCGATGGGCATGACGTGCATGTTTTGTCAATAATGCAAAAAAATTCATATAACATATGGGCAATGGTGGATGTGAACTTGAAGGTGGGTCGATTTCGTAGTATGTGCATGACACTGTTTAACGCATGCCATGGAAAGCTAGCTGGATGAGGGCGCCGTGCACTGTGGCTTATTAAGGTCTGAATTGTCCATAGGGCTGTTTCATCACTAAATCATAATCAATTAACACCGAAAAGGGGGAGAGATTCACTACGCGCCTTAATACCTGCTGTTCAATTAATCCCTGTACAGCTAGGAGATGTCGCTCAATGTCTATAACGTCCCCGGTAAAAGCAATATATGGAACCGCAGAGGTGATAGGTACGTCGGCTGTAGTGATGGTGTTCAACCTCCTAAGGTAAGCCATGCCCCAGCTGTTTGCCTCGATAAAGTCATCGTGGATTGCACTTCCAGCCAATTTCTCAAACGTGATCTTGTAAGAGTGCCGATCGCCAATGAAGCGTGGCCGTAAGAAAGTCAAAGCCGAGTTAGGATTGCAAGTCGAAGACGTGGGTGCATTTTGAAGAATATCAAACCCCCTTCGAGAATACTTATGCACGGCCATTGCTTGGACTTCCGTCATTGGAAATGTAAGGTCAATGAGCAGTGACTCTTTGCGCTCGAGGGTAAGTTTCGGGAATAAACAATACGCGGCACTATGAGTGAGAATGTTCATTACACAAGCTGTGAAGAAGAGGTCAGGTTACAAATCAAAACAAAAAGTAAATGACTGAACTGGAATGGAATGAAAAAATAGTCGTTAAAGGTGAACACAAAGTCGTCATCAACTGCACTGTTAATCGTCCGCGTGTAAAGTTCCACACCGACGCGATATTGTTGAGTCTATATTCGCCAATGTCCGCCCCTTCCACGGTATCGGCAGGTGGCGATTCGTCATCATAAAGTTTGCAAATGCGGACGAAGTCAGCAGCAAAATCGTCGTGTTGGTTACCAAGAGGCATAAACGAAAAATCGTGGGCTAAGAACCAAAGGCCGACTGCAATAGCTTGTGGGAGATGGCAGTAACAGTCCATATCGCCCCCATATTCCACCCGAGTGAAGAACTTCAACGCAGTAGAGCCGGAAACAATTAACCCCGTCAGACCCTTCATATTTAAGATATCATTCAGCAGACGTAATCACGTATTGAGAATAGGTAGAAATACTTGCCTGCATTTTTTGAAACTCTCCCAAGACCTTGATGTCGTCAAAAATTCCTCGATAGGCTCTTTGAATGCAGAAAACACGATTCTTGTAAGCCAAGGTGTGGTTCCGGAACGAGTGGCAACAACGACTGAATGACTCCAGGTCCACGGGAGAAAGGTGGTTGGTAATATTCTCCAGGAGATCAAGGGGGCTACGATGACGTTTGCTGATGAGAATTGATATGGATTATGAGAATAACTCACAGTAATTCACGGCTTGCCATTGTTGTACACACGACTCAAATTACATCGTCGCTTATATAGTTGAGAAGAACCGTAATGAGACCAGTAAGACAATACTATCACAGGTTGTGAAACTTTGGAACTACGACCGAACCCTTTTCTATGAGTCAATGATCAACGGAAAGATAATAAGACACAAATGTCTCTCACAGAAGGTGGAGGCTATATCTAGACATCTGAAGTGATTACACAAATGGTGCAAGCGATATTATAATAATACAGACGAAATACAACGAAAGAATAGGTAAATCGGACAAGACTATCAGTTCCCAATTACTTTCTTGCCCTCTTTTTTTTGCTTTCCCCAATATGATCGATGCGATTCTCAAAGGCATTTTGGCCATTATTGATTACAGTCGGATCCTCCATTGTCGTACTTGATTCCACAGTTACATCGGGAGCCTCCTTTCGTTCAGTGATATGCCCAGTTTTTTCCAGATTACCTTCCGTATTGTCGTTGGAATCGTCTAGTGTGTGATCAGAGCCAGAAGTACTGGGAGGGGTTGATGACGCTGCCCAATCGATTGCGGCCAAAGCCGTCGTCGCTGAAGAAGAAAGCTCAGGTTGTCGTTCCGACGTTTTCTTTCTGATAAACGGTGTGGGAGGTAATATGACAAGATCTGATTCGGCAACGACTCTGAGGGAAGTGATGGATGCATGGTAGATCTTGTTCCAATTAGTGTATTGATACGAAACAAAATGTAATGGTTACCTTTCTTATTGCATTGTTACCAGTTCCAGCCGGCATGACAAAGACTTCGATGCAAATCGTAGCGACCACGACAGTTCCGGCTCTCAGATAGTTGTAATATTCCCAGGGGACAATCAGGTCGTTGTTGATATTGGTCCATTGAGGTTGAATTAATTTCGCTTGCCTCATTGCGAATACTGGTCCACCGAAATCGGGCATTAAACGATGATCATATTCCGCACCAACGTATATTTGTTGGGCTATTTGATCATATGAGCACGGGTTGAGTAGTGTAGATTTCACTTACAGGTTGGTAGAATCAAAGCGGTTGGTGAGCTGTCGAGCGGAGAAATGTCTTCTTGATCTTGGGCCTCGCCGTCATTAGATGCAGACCAGTTACGCTTTCTGAGATTTCTTTTCGTTGGTGAGGTGGGCGAGAAGGAGTTTGAATTGTCAGAGTTTGTGTTCCGTTTAAGTACCTGGACAACAAGTCAGATTATACGAGTGACCAGTCAAATAATATGCACCGTGTACAACGGAGGGCCGGTAAGAACAATCCCGTCTAATTCCCCACCCGGTCTAAAGGATTTGACCATTTCTTTCGGAATGACCATCTACAAAATCATTAGCATTCATAAGACAGTGCCAATGCAGAAATACCGAGTCAGAGCGTGTTTCTTCTTCTTTGTCAGCATCCCGGACGCTGCTCAATGTGCAGATTTGGTTGTAGAATAAATCTGATACTGCAGGCGTCGCGAAACTAGGGCAACCCAAAGCAATCGTGCATTTTGTCTTCGTATAGTCATCGAGTAACTTAGGCTGTGAACCTATTTATCTCAAGTCATTTCGACAATGTTGAGTACGTACCTTGGCGGGATCGTTGCCAATAAAGTGGTTACCTTGAGCACCTATGTGTGTCCCATACGCTTGCCCAACAATTTCACCGAATACGTTTCCCGTATATTGCTTAGAATCAATGCCGCGAAAAGAATAATTAGCTGACCACGCCTGACCGAAGTTGAAGCGGAAGAAGTCCTCATTCAGTTCGGCATTAGCTATTGCGTTAGCGCCCATTTTCGCAAATCCAGTAGCGATTTTGTCGTAGACACCACCAGGCTTATTACGATTTTGAAAAGCCGTGGTTTTGACGCTTCCAGGCAGATATCCATAGTTGGAGGACATGGTGAATCGGGGTCGTTATAGGTTTGAGTGTAGCTCAAAAACTTTCTCCTTTTTATAAGTGTTTTTGGTTTCAAAATCCAGATCGAATGGAGCGTCGATCATGTCTGAAGATGAGACACAGTAGTTGTATTCACAGGAAGGGAAAACGACGAAATAGAAAATACACAAATATACATTAGTTACCAAACCGATTATTTTACTAATCAACATCATCTTTCTCGATGGCCATATGGGTATCGTATTCAACGCCGTTCAAATCCATGTCTCCCAAAGTAAACATATCTTCCGAATCTTCGACTCGATCGTCCTGTCCGACATATGTATCCGCAGAAGGTCTGGACGTATACGTCGGCGATCGGCGCATGCGTTTAGCAGAAACAGGAGTCTCTTTCGATGAAGAACTGAACTGTCCAGCGGCAAAGACATTTCCCACCCTCGACGGAACACGGATAGTACCAATCGATCGTAGCACAGAGATTGCGGAGCCATCAGCGGGGGGGATGTCACGATTGGTATGAATCCCATTGGCGAAGGGGGGAACCGGGCTCAAGACCGATATATCGGATTCAGCAACAACTTTCAGATAGTTGATGACAGCTTGATAAACCTATTGAGTGTATTCATTTGAAAAGTACATTGAATAAGTCACAAATAACGTTGAACTTACTTTGCGTTTACATTGCCTTTTATCCTTCGGTTGCAGTACATGCAGTCTAAAACTAACGTTCGCAACGACCACGGTCCCCGGCCTCAGTTGCAGGTAATTTCTCCAAGGAACTATCAAATCGCCGTCGAGTTTGCGCCAATCAGGTTGAATCAATCGTGCTTTATTGAATGCGAATACTTTCCCCCCATAATCTGGCATCAATTTGTAATCATACTGTGCCCCAACTGTGATGCTAGCGTCTGTAACGAACATCAATGAACACCAGACGATTGAGAATTAGTTTCTACACACCAGGAGGGAAACCCAAATCCACGTGGTTAGAATGGTAAGAACCCGCGGCCAGTTCTTCCTCAGCGTCAGAGAGTTTATTGAGTTTGCGCTTCTTGAGTTTCGACGCGACATAATCTATTTCAGTATTTTTCTTCGAACCCGACTTTCGTTCTCCTTGGGGAACCTAGACTGACAAGTTAGCAAAGCAACTGTGAAAATTCCAATACTTACCGCGTATAACAAAGGGCCTGTAAGCGTTATGGCGTCAAGGGGTCGATTGGATACTAGTTCCTTGACGATTTCCTTCACAGACGCGAACTATAAATTATGTCAGAATGAAATCGTGTGGGGAAGAATTGATTTGCCTGATCCCCCGAGCATTCACGGTGACTGATCATTCGCAAGGTACAAAGCTGATTGTGCCACAAGTCTTTCAAGCCTGACGGGGCGAAAGAGGGACAGCCTAGAACTATACTGCATCTCGCTTTTGTGAAATCGGTCATTGGATTAATCTGGTGCCATTTGCATCAATGACATGGAAAACACGAGAAGTGAAGTTTACCGATGATCTATCAGTTCCAGCGAAATGATTTCCTGTTGCACCTACTGCAGTGCCATGAATATCGCCCAGAATCTCTCCGAACAAGTTGCCGGAGAACTCTTGTGATTCGCTATCAACATAGCAAAAATGTGTCGACCATTCGTCGCCGTACTTTTCACGAAAGAAGTCAATACCATACTCCGCATTCGCGATTGCAGTAGGTCCCATATCTTTGAATAATTGCGTGAGCTCATCATAGATCTGCCCAGGTCGTTGACGGAATTCAAAGAGAGGAGAAGTGAATGCACCAGGTGTATGCAAGCGAGCCGACATGATTGATGTGCATTAGTGACTACAAACAGTACATTTTATACTTAGTTGAGAATGTCAAAATAGAACTGTAGACCACATTGTGTAAAAGTCAGACAATTCTCAGTCTATTATCTGCGAGGATGCTTACCGATCGCATGTCTAGAAATTAACCGTGACATGCCATTGACGCAGCCTCAAATCGTGATGGATTCATTTTTAATGCAGACCATCTAAAGGAACTGTCTCAGATATCATGTTTAACCCATAATGAGATATCTCAGATATGATAGTATTTACCATATTCAGTAGCCAACTACGTGACAAGTTTACGTTTCTTCATGGCAGGTGCAGTAACTGATGTATGCTGGTCGTTGGATGCTTTCCGGCGGTTCGAAAAAATGGGAGCAGCAGACACAGGCAAGACCGTAGACCCCTAGTTGTTAGATTGACTAAGAGCGGGGGTTTGAGACACAAGCGAAACACATACCTGAGAAATGCCCATAACCAGCTCAGAGTCCGAAAGCTGCTCCATTCGAGACAGGTTTCGTTGGACGGCGTCCAGCTTGCTCAGGGACTGGACATCCGAGTCAGCAACCACTGGCCCCTGCCCTTCGAAGACACCCAAACTCTTTTTCGCCTTTGCACGCTCCATGTCGGAACCAACGGATACAATGGTGGTAAGTGATAAGTAACGCAGCCTTTGCTGCTCAATTCTATTGTCTTGAGATTGGTGACATTGTATTTTTCTCAGTTGGAATGGCCGAAGTACGAGGAGCCCATCGAGCGTTTTGACACGAGAGAGCATAACATATGGAGCTTCGGTCCCGTGACATGACTCGATATCAACAATTGCGGAACGCATTGTTTGCCCTTGCGCTTTATGGGTAGTCATCGCGAACGCAGGTGCAATCGGTAACTGCGTACGTTGAAATGTACATCGTTTCTTGGTGTATTCGTGCACGAATGATAAACTCACTTTATCCTCTAACGCCACAACATCGTCTTTGTTTTCCATGTAAGGTAAGGGCTCTGTTACCTCCGTTGTGGACAACGTAATAACACAAGATATAGCATGCCGACGCCCTTGCTCATCGACCTTATATCGAATACTTTTCAGTAATCCTTGGGCTCCATTCACGACCCCCGCATGAACGTCGAAATTTTGAGTTATTATCACAGGCATTCCGATCACTAAAGGAATTCGACCCAGCCGTTGATTCGTCTTTCCGGAGTCTAATGTTTCTAAATAAGTCTGCAACGTTGGATCTACAATATGTTTACCGCCTCGTGTATCGGAGGAGTGATACCAATATAAAGGTTGTCCGGTACGTTTAGCGAAGGCTTCCGTAGCGCGCTCATTGATTAAATCTTTCACCCGATTGCTAGAAACAATAGTTGGCGTACTTGCCCATTGAGGATCACTCCAATCCGGCTGCACGTTACCAAGCACCCTCGTGTTAAGAAGATCGTAATCGCTTTGTGTACAGCTACCAGTCCGAAGACGCGACAATAAATCTACAAAAGGTTTGTTTTCAATACCGGTTTGTCGCATTACCTCTGTCAGTAAAACCACCGTATTCACAGTCAACCACAGCAGTTTTCCAAACACTATCTCTTGACCATGAATTGTGGTCGCGCGGCGGGTATCGATGTACGAAAACAAACGTTGTTCGCGTACTGGACCTAGTTGGGCAAAATCCCCAGCAAAAATGATATTAATACCTCCAAACGGCGCAGTATTGTCTTTCGCTTGACTCAAAGCGCGGCTGATCTTCAGTAAAAATTTACAACCCAGCATAGACACTTCGTCAATAAACAAGTAATCAACACCTTGCCACATTGCGAGAAGTTTTTGACGAGATTTGCTATTTACTTTTGCGGATGCCGTCGTCAACAGCAACAGAGCTGAATGTAAAGTCATTCCTGAAATATTTTTCGCGGCTACACCCGTATAAGATGCTAACCTAAAACGCCTACTCTCCCCTTGAGCTTCAAAGAACAATTTCAACGCAGATATTACATGTGATTTTCCTGTCCCACCCGGCCCTCCAATAAACATTCTCAACGGATCTGATTTTTCCTGTTGAGTATGAGAAGCAATTAAACGAAACGCTCTTTCTTGTTCTTCGTTAAGAGCTGGTGTAAATTCAGCAACAAAAGCATCAATATTTATCAAAGGGTTTGGCTGTGAATCATGTATCGGTGGTCGAAGGATTGCGTTGTCGAGTTCATGGTGATATTCATCGAGGTTGTGAATTCGGCTGTCTTGATCGTTCGTATTTGAATTCTCATTCACAGGTTCGACCACTAATTGCTGTTGCCAAAGCTGTTTTCGAGCTACGTACGCGTCCTTCCAAGTTTGCTCGTGTTCGGGACAGTCATCTACTATCAGATGAAGATTATTTACAATTTCTCCATTGGGTTCCGGTAATGTGTTTGAATTGGATTCAGAGGACTCGGAACCAAAGAAACCACAGCTTTCCATATGCTGGACACAGCTCAATGCCTCGCATCTTGACATATCGACATGCCTGGAGTTTGTACCTTCTATTGACAACAAATGTTCGAGGATTTCTGACTCATTATCATGTTCAGCGAGAAAATCATCTTCAACCAAACGCTCTTGTTCCGAAGAACCACAACCATGTGCAGTACGAAGCCTACGCGCACTGGCTCGGCTAGAAAAATGGTCGTCCCGACTATCCCTGCACTCGTGTAAAATTTGCATGTTATTCATCATTTTTTTAACATTATCAGGACAATTCTGATTGAAGATGGCAAAAGCATCTGCCCAAGACTCGTGTCGTTCTCGAAGATCTACGGCATTCCGCCATGGTTTGAAAAACATTAACATCAAGCGGCAATATCTAGGCCAATCGTTTTCCCGATCTCTTCTCGGTATAGCAGGTCCTATTGGGACGGGAACTTTACGATTTTTGGAAGAATCTAACACAAACATATGCGATAATCGTTCAGGGTGACCAAGCTCAAAGTCGAATTTAGGATGGGATCGTGTGCGGTGATCCATCAACTCAGACACTGAGAGAACGCATTGTCCATCATCACTGCAGATATCTTCTTGTAAGTCTACGAGTACTTCATCATCATCGCCCGCCGACGAGTCGGTTACGTTATCAAATTCTCCTGATGCATTATAAACATCTTTTGGCCGAGCCTTTCGAGTTTTTGTGCACCGAGCAATATTTTCCCAAAGAGTAAGTTCTTCAACAGCATTCGGACGATACCGATAATCATCAAGCTGTGATGCTCTTGCAACGAGAAAACCATCAGTTCCCACTGAAATACCGACCTCATCTTCGACATCGTATTCTTCCACAGGTTTGGGTGCGTCATCAAATTCAGTTGCACGTAGGGTATCAGGTCCGTCCTGACCTACATCGTCGCCAGAAGCATCCGTTACATTCTTGTCACCGAATAGATCTTGGACACTCTGATCAGCTTTTTGAATTGATCGGCACTCAGGAGATGGTATCTGACATTCGACAAAATGCTCGAACTGCGTCCAGTAAAAGTTCCTATAACGATGCGACGTAAAATGATCTTCCAGGTCCAAAAGGTACGTATTAACTTGCTGCGCAGATAACTCTTGTTGGCTTATCATTGAGTATGCACATTTCTGAAGGAGTCGTTTAGCACGTATCGTAAACGGCGAATCAGTTGAACATTGTTCATCTAGTCGTCTCACGGCTCTTTCCAAAGCTGCGTATGCCACATGTGTTTTCAATTGCGATTTAGTGATATAATTGGTGATATAATACAGGACGGCTTTCGCAGATGCGCCAGAACCAATAAATTTGATGTCCATATTGCAACGGATCGCGCGTAGAATTGTCTCGTTGAAATTGTTTACGAGACCATCAAGACATCGTAAACTGAGTTCACCAGTATTTTTGTCAAATACCGATTCGGGCGATACATTGGATTCATGTAATCCGAAACGACACTCCTTTGGCAGTGATTTATCTTTGCAGTATTTGTAACAAGTCGCGGTGTGTTTATGAATCTGACAACTTTTAACAAGATTATGCAGGTCCTTCTGTACAGCTTCCGGTGAATGTGGTTCTGTATTGTATCCTACCATGCTTGTTCCTCGTACAGAACATGGATGAAAATCATCCGAAGGTACATGTACCCCCACTGAATCATCTGCAGGCAGCTGATTTGCAATTGTGTCATCCAAGAACGCAATCAGACGGCGGCAAAAATCAGAGTTAGGATCCTCAATAGCGCGTTGGCGAATTTCATTTGGATTTAACCCACCCTCTAACCATATCATCATATGACAATGCAATGTACCTCGGCCTTGAGCCTCAATACACCCATAATAACCTTTCACTACACCCAATACTCCTCCTGTCAAATCTTGTTGGCTAGCATCATACCCTAGTAAACTGTGAATGAATGCTTTCAGGTAAACATTAAAAAACTTAGCCGCCACAACGGGGTTTTTCGCGACAAGAACTGCTTGGTCCCAGTACTCAGGTACCTCTTGTGGCAACATGCAATCGATGTCAATATCAGTTCCAGCAAGAAACTTGACAAGTGGATTGTAGACATCAGCAGGATTTATGGTAATGTAAAAACTGGGTAAGCCTTGGTCAATCATCAAGGCTCTGATTTCATTTCTCATATTGACTAAAGCGGATGCGGAACCAGGAACTGAAGATGTAACGAGATTAACCTGTTGCATTAATTGAAGTACCGTACGTTCGGCTGAGTTCCTGAACGAAACCATATCACCTCTTGCAAACCGTTCAGAAACAGCTGCAATTGCACTGGGTGTTACTGAAGCAAACTGACTTGCTAAGACAGGAAAACTTGATTTTTTTGCTTTCAGAGCCGTTCGGAGAAGCATGTTCCGTCGCTGCAGTATGTTGAAGGCCGTGAATGAGAACGAGTAATGCTCCTGGAAGCGATGATCACGCAAGTTCAATAGATATTTTACGTGCCTCTTTAGAGTGTCACGAAGCGGCAGAGGCGGAGTGACTAGCGGAGCAGGGAAACGGAGTGACTAAGCAAGGCGATGAGGCGGAGCGACTAAGCAAGGCAGTGAGGCGGAGCGACTAAGCAGAGCGGAGGCAAACTGGTCCCAGATAATGACAGAGATATATTGAGTATCGTAGTCATAGGTAATAATAAGTAAGCACATACCTGGTCCCAGATAATGACAGAGAGGTCAAGATAAGGGACCAGGCTGTGGAGGGTTGGCTATATATACATAATCCGGTCTGCGAGAAACAACGATGTAATACTGTACAGTTTAGGAACAAGGAAGGTGGCGGAAGCCAATAGAAGGAGAAGATGGGTCAGGTGGATCAGTAATCGATGGATCAGTAATCGATGGGGGTTTGACAGTGATGGGATGATGTATCGTACAAGTAAAGGCGTCGAGACGGTGAGAAAAGGAAAATGATAGGGGCTGCGTACTTTATGACATTACCCCCCTCCTTATGACCATTGCCCTCGATGGTCAAGGCTTTGCCGCTGTTGGGTGTTTTTTATGAAAGGCCCGAACAATTTTTGGTGCTCGACTGAGGTTGGCTGCGGGTTCCCAAGAGTTGTGCCCTGCGTCGTAACCTTTCCACTTAACCAAATATTCCAACTTCTTCCATCGAACCCGGCTGTCTAAGATCTCCTCTACTTCGTATTCCGGTTCGTCTTCATCCTCTAAGTATACCGGCTCTGGTGGTGTTGGTATTTCGCCATTAGTGGAGTTACCTTTCCAGGGGTATAGTTTATCGACGTGGAAGACGGGATGGAGGCGATCTAGGGATAGGGGAAGGTCGAGGCGGTAGTCTAAAGGGCCAATTTTCTCCAGGATGCGATAAGGGCCAAGCTGTCGATCTCCTAACTTTTCACTGGAAAGTTGAAGGTTAATGTCCTCCGCACTGAGCCAGACTAGGTCTCCAACTTTAAATTGATGAGCTTTCCGCTTCCCGCGTTCGTATCCCTCCTTCTGTTGTTTCTTTCCTAGGTGTAAGGCAGCTCCGGCATCTTGTCGCGCTTCTCGGAGAATCCGTATACGGTCATCCACAGCTGGAATACCGCTGCGTTGGCCCACTGGGATATTGAACAGGGGAAGATAGCCGTAGGTTAGCTCGAACGGGGACATGCCTAGAGCAAAATGAGTCCGTGAGTTAATCACAAACTCCGCCATGGGAAGGTGCTCTGCCCAGTCATCTTGTCGTCGTCCTACATAGAGGCGGATGTATTTCTCTACTTCCTGATTTGCTCGTTCGGTTTGGCCATTAGACTGAGGACGGTATCCGGAGGTTAGATCTGATTTAATTCCTAGCCTAGCGAGAAGGGATCGCATGAGTTTAGCTGCGAACTGGGGTCCGCGGTCGGATTTAAAGTGAAGAGGAAGACCATGGAGACGGAAGATCTCTCGGTAGTAAATATCGGCAACGCCTTCGGCTGTGATGGAGCTGGTGCAAGGAATGGCGTGAATTTGTTTTCCATACAGGTCTGTGCAAACCAAGACAGCATCGTAGCCTTGGGAGTTAGGTAGCTGTGTTATCAGGTCAACCCCTACCTCTTCCCATAGACCGGATGGTACATCTAATGGTTGAGTTACGGCCCGTGGGTGTCGCTGGATCTTCTTACGGGCACAAACCTCGCATCCCTCAACGTATTTTTCCACAAAAGAGCGCAACGTAGGCCACCAGAAATGGGTACTGACCAAGTCGAGTGTCCCGTGTAGTCCGGGGTGTCCTGCAGTTGGATTGTCGTGGCATTGACGGAGTACCTCAGTGCGTAGGTCGTCGTTTGCTGGTACGTATACTCGACCTCGGTAGTAGACCAACCCATTGTCTTCTTCCCATTCGGCTATCCCATTGGCCAAGCGCTGTAGTCCGTGCTCTTTGACTGTTTTGAGACCCTCCAATACCTGTGCCTCCCGTTCGGAGGCTTTCCGGATACGATCCTCTAAGGGGTTCTGTAGGATCGAAGCTGCAATTTTTACGAAGTGGCCAGGTTTAAGGACTGTCTGTTGTCGGTTATCATCGCTGTCCGATACATGATGAACTGCCATGCGGGAGAGAGCATCAGCTTGGGTGTTTACTCTGCCAGGGCGGTGGATCATATGAAAGTCAAACCGTGACAGATAGAGGGCCCATCGGGCTTGTCGGCGGGTGAGGTCTTGTGCAGTGCGCCAGAATTCGAGGTTTGAATGGTCCGTAATGATGTCGAATGGTTGAGGGAGTCCTTCTAGAAAGTTCCTCCAATCCTTCAGTGCTTCAATGATAGCAAGCATTTCTCGATCGTAGATTTCGTAGTTCCGTTCCGCTGGCTGCATGGATGCCGATCTGAAGGCTACCAGATGCCATTGGCCATCGTCTTGCTTCTGCATAAGGGCGCCTCCCGTGGCAAAGCCTGATGCGTCTACCTCGATTCGAGTAGGCCTGTCTGGTGTCCATAGAGCAAGGATCGGTGCGGAGATGAAGGCTTCTCGAAGGGTATCAAATGCTTTCTGTCGAGTGTCGGTCCAGGTAAAGCTGGTGTCTTTCTTCGTCAGGTCGTTCAGAGGTCGTGCTATTTTGGCAAAATTCCGGATAAAGCGTCGGTAGAAGTTTGCAAATCCCAAGAACCCTCGTAGTTCCCGAAGATTAGTAGGGACTGGCCAGTCACGAACAGCCGCTACTTTTACCGGATCCATTCTCACCTCCCCTTCTGAGATGATGAGTCCGAGGTATTCAATCTGTTGTTGTTCAAATTCGCATTTTTCTGGTCGTAGGTAGAGGTCGTGCTTTTCTAACCGGGTTAATACTTCCCGTACCATTCGTCGGTGTTCCTCGAGATCGTTACTGAAGATAAGGATGTCATCTAGGTAGACTGCCACCTTGCCGGCTGCAATGAGATCAGCAAATATAGCATTCATAAGTGCTTGGAACGTGGCAGGGGAATTTGTGAGACCAAAGAACATGACCTTAGGCTCGAACAAGCCTCGGGTAGTTGCGAACGCGCCTTTCCATTCATGCCCCTTCTTAATCCGTATGTTATTGTAACCCCAGCGGACATCAAACTTCGTGAAGTATCTGGCTCCCTGAAGTCGGCTAATGATGTCAGCAACTAATGGGAGAGGGTATCGGTTCTTCACAGTGTACTCGTTCAGTTTCCGGTAGTCTTGTACAAAACGGAGTTTCCCATCCTTCTTCTTTACGAAGAAGACCGGTGATGAGATTGGTGATTTTGAGGGGACGATATAGCCTTTCCGTAGGTTTTCTTCTAGGAAACGATCCAACTTCTCCTGCTCGTTTAGGGACATGGGATAAATCTTGGTACGCATGGTTGCCGGTGCTCCAGGTACGAGATCAATCGCATGGTCCCAAGGTTGGTGGGCAGGTAATCGTTCAGAGGCGGATTCTGAGAAAACCTTCTTGAAATCACGATACTGCTCAGGGACCATTTCTTCGAAGGTTTTAACGGGTTTGTCTCGGTTGGCTTCCTCTGCTAGCTGCTGGGAGTAAGTGAATCCTGCGGCGCACCAGACTTCCTCCGTCTGTTCCTCTAGAATTCCTGCTTTTACCCATGCCCGGCGAGTTTTATGATTGGCTCGAATTCGGTGTATTGGTGGTTCTTCCACCGCTGCTGATTTACTCGGTTCAAGGGTCGCTTCTAGTGGCACCTCAATGTGGGGGTTTTCTGCGGGAGGTTCCAGTTCCGGGAGTTCGAGGATCGGGGTTTCTGTGTGAGTGGCAGCTAGATGAGAGTACAAGATCTCCTCGTCTGGGACTTCTTCTATCGTTACTCGAGGAGGCTTTACTGAAAGTCGTCCTTTCTCCCAATCAATCTCCGGATTGACCTTCCGTAGCCAGGGGAGTCCAAGGATGATGTCTTCACCTCCTAGGTTGGTGATCAGAAAGTCCATCCATCGCTCTTGATTATCCACTGTGAGTGCTAGACGTGCAAAATGGGTTATCCGTCCAGCTCGGTTAGGTGTTCCATCGATATTAAAAACATTGATTGGTTTATGGAGGGGTGCACATCTTACATGGTTCCGGGTGACAAAGTCTTGGTTTAAAAACAGGGCGGTAGCTCCACAGTCTACCATGGCTGCAGTTGTTATACTGTGATTCCTTCCTCTTAGTCTCGCATGAATTCGGAAATGTGGGGAAGTAGAGTTTAATTCCCGGATCGACGATATTGTACATGATGGGTGCGAGTCATACGAGGAAGTAGCGAACATAACAAACTGATTACGGGGTACTCTCGGTGCAGCCGAAGCGGGTACCCTCTTTAAAAACCCTGTTGAAAGCCAGAGGACGAGGAGGACATAGCGTTAGCACGATCAAGTAATTCCCTTATTTGACCAATCTGATTGGAAAAGTCCTGGTTAGGGGGGCTCGGAGTAGCAGCTACGGGTGCAGGAGCAGATGTTGGGGTCGAGGACGCGATTTGGACGGATTCGTTTGGGAATAGGGAGAATGGCGCGGGTCCCGTAGCGGATATCTGTTGGCGTCGAGGTTGCTGGCGTCGGCCTCGGTCTCGTCCGAGTCCCATGAATTTGTCTTGGCAGACTGCTTCCAGATGTCCTCGACGTCCACAGTAGCGGCAGGTGGTTTCTCGGTGTGGGCAGTTTTGCTTGACATGACCTTGGGCACCGCAGCCGAAGCATCGTCCTCGCATGCGAGCTAGGAATGCCTCCCTAGTATTCCCATTACTGGTGTGGGTTGCATCAATGTCCATAGCGTGGGGGTCAGCAGGGGTAGTATGAGCGGTATGCGTGGGAGGGTATCCAGAGTTCCGGCCAGTCATGGTGGGATCGTGCAGGTAGACATCCACCGATATGGCCCGTTTGATTGCCTCCTTCAGAGTCGGAGCAATTCCTTGGGCAATGTTTACGGTGATGAGGTGTTGTCGGATCTCTGGGAGTAATGCAGTGAAGAAACGTTCCCGCAAGTCAATATCAGACATTTCAGTCCGATCTCCGATATCCTTGAACTTCTGAGCGAATTCCGCAACTGTCTGTCCTTTACTTTGCCTGAGATTCTTGATCTCGCTACGGGCTTCCATACCTGGGTCCATTGGTTCAAACCGTTGGCTAAATTCCTTCAGAAACGCCTCCCAATTTCCTCCGAAAGGGGGATTTTCCGCATTGAAATGTAGCAGATGGGGAGTTGCCCAATCTCCGGCACTTTCTGTGAAGAAGCCCAAGGCGGACTTGATGAGTTTTACTTGGCTTTTGGCGAGATCCGGTTGTTCTGACGCCCAATTCTGGAACTGAGCCATGAAGCGACGGGCTTCAGCGCCATCTTTACCCTTGAAAACCTCGGGTTTGTTCATGCTTGACTTAGAGGATGAGCGTTCCTCCATAGCTGTAGCAAGGTTAGCTACTTGTCTGATGAGCTGAGCCATGAGATCCTCCGCAGAGGTGTTTGGGGCAGGCGGGATAGGAGTCGACATGATGGGAGTAGGCAATCGGGGCTGGGGAATCGGCAGGAAGGTTATATTGCTCACAGTGAGTGGCTCTCGGATTGAGTTCGAAAGGGCGTTGGGGCAAGGTTGAGACTGGCAATCGCGCCAAGTATCGTCGTTGTTATGGGCGTGAGCTTGGTCTCTGGGGTCAAGTGCGTGCGGGAGTGCGGAGCAGTCTATACTGGCAACAGGTGTTTCGGAGTCGGGCGGAACTGGGGAAGACGTGGTGTCTATAGACCCTGCAAGGACAACCTTATCGGTAGGCTGTCAGTGCAGTAATGGATCTTGACCTAATGTCACGAAGCGGCAGAGGCGGAGTGACTAGCGGAGCAGGGAAACGGAGTGACTAAGCAAGGCGATGAGGCGGAGCGACTAAGCAAGGGCAGGGAGCGACTAAGCAGAGCGGAGGCAAACTGGTCCCAGATAATGACAGAGATATATTGAGTATCGTAGTCATAGGTAATAATAAGTAAGCACATACCTGGTCCCAGATAATGACAGAGAGGTCAAGATAAGGGACCAGGCTGTGGAGGGTTGGCTATATATACATAATCCGGTCTGCGAGAAACAACGATGTAATACTGTACAGTTTAGGAACAAGGAAGGTGGCGGAAGCCAATAGAAGGAGAAGATGGGTCAGGTGGATCAGTAATCGATGGATCAGTAATCGATGGGGGTTTGACAGTGATGGGATGATGTATCGTACAAGTAAAGGCGTCGAGACGGTGAGAAAAGGAAAATGATAGGGGCTGCGTACTTTATGACATAGAGAGACAGGCTCTGATCTCGAGTAATCTTCAAAACCACCAATACCATAAGGAAATAGTGTTGAATATATCATTGGAAAAAGTGAAGGATTGAAGAATTCATTCATCGGTTCTGTGTCATGAGGTATTTCAATATATGACCCCCCCTTGAACTTAATATGACGCATCGCAGCTGCGCGCAATTCATTCATAGTAGCATTAGCATCTACGTCTGCAATAACAATACTTTCAAATGAAACTTCTTCATTGTATTGGTCAGATGATTCGGGTAAAACTGGGGGTGTTGAAGACAATGTTCTCGCAGGATCATACCCGGCAGTCAAACTATCTTCAGACTCCCCAGATTCAACACATTCAACATGGACAGGCAGAACAAATTCATCAGGTAAACTAGCTAAGAAATCAAAATCGATCTTAATATCTCGATACCACTTGTTGTGACTTTTCAACCAAATCAAGGCATCACGAACAACCTTTGGACGTGCTGTCAAAGGTTTCGCTTTATTTCTAAGCCATTCTTGAGACGGACGGGATGAACCCACGAATATAACACAAATAGGAGCAGTTAAATCTTCCAATGAAGGTGGCAATATCTTCGCTAACGCTGTAGGTTTTTGCGGATAAACAATGATATTTCCTTTCAACCCTCTCTGGGTCGTCCTGTTTGCAACTTGATCTGTCTCTTTTAATTGAATAATCCAGCTTTTAGCACGACAGCGCGATATCATAGCCTCCTCGACTACTGTAAGGTTCTTGAGAACATCAGGGACGTCGCCTAAATACATATGGTTTGCGAGTGACAGTGCGGGTGTCTTGTTATTGCGTAAAGCTGAATAGCAAACAGGACAAAGACACAAAGTATTAGTGCTTTGCTCATCAATTTGAACCCCGTTCCTATCCAAAATGATGTCAGGATGATCTTTGAAAACACAGTCAACATTAGGTGCAATACAGTCGTTGTCTAACCAGTTCGAATCTACTACAGTAGATGGAAATCCTTTCTTCATTCGCATATCTGGCCTCTTTAGTAGTGACAAATCAATTGAATCACAAGCGACAATATGGCAAGCACTTGCAAGCTCCTCAGATGCGCAAGAAGCGCATACTGACCTCCGCATGGCGTGACTCGAAGTAGAATCACGAAAACGTTCTAACGACTTCTCTTTTAAACTTTGAGGTACCAATGAAGGCCAGGAAGTCCGTAGACTTTGTAGCTTTTTTTCAACTTCTACATGTTCGAGGTCAAGACCAACAGTCTCATTATACACCTGTAAGCGGTGACGAAGTACACGCTTGTTATCATCAGGATTGAATGGTATTTCTAGAATCTGTAAGACACTGCGAAGTGTAACTGGAGAAAGCTTAGTACTGAGCAAATGTATCAAAAAAGTTTTATACTCGGATGTGGATTCAAACTGTTTGACTTCATTGATTTCAGGCGGACTGAACGTAGACGCAATAGAACGGCAACCGCCGGCGCACTGAGACTCGGAAGAAACTATCACATTAGTATAGCATTCAGCAGAAAGTATATGAGATGCCAGCTGCAAACGTAGATCTGCAGATGTTGCAGTAGTAACATTAACTTCAAGGTTATGCATCAAACAGTATTGAAGGAGCACAGGGAATCGCAATTGATTGAAGTCCTTGAATATGTCTAAAGCAGAGCATGGTAACACACGATTTTCACATTTATCAGCCTCGATGTGAGCACCATGAATACGCACGAGGTATCTATGTACCAGACCCAACATTTGACGGCGCGGTTGTTTAGGCCGAATCTCCTCTCGAATATTCAAAGCTTCCAACATAAGCTTCAGCTTATCGACCGACATAGAAACAGCCTTTGATTTCGCAATAACACCATCGATCGTTGTCAAGAATTCGGGGACAGAAGTGTGTCTACCACAAAAAATACGACAAGCAGGCGCCGACTGAGATTGAGAATTATGAAAACACTGAGCATTGAGTATATGGTAGATTACTGCTTCACGCTGCCGACGCAGGCCAACGAGACCTGTGAGATCCAGTCCATGTAAAGAAGCATAAGTAAAAAGTGATTTCGCATCGGCTACGAACATAGAACACCGTACACCTGATTTGAAGTCACCGAAAAGGCAAGCATTCAATACCTCATCGGAGGTTGGAGGTGCTACATGGACAGAGTGACATTTGGAAGTCGAGGCTGTAAGGGTATTTTCCCGAGTAATCAGACTATTGGACCCATTATGAGGGAAGTTCCCATTCGGGCTAGCCAGATTTCTGGCACTTGTTCCTTCCGGAACCAACAGACCTCCCGAACGTGGTTCATTTTCTGAGTGTCCTGTGTGATTGAGTAAAGAAAGTGAGCGAATGAAATGAGTTGACTAGACGAAGATTCACTTTGGAAATCAGATAGAGTTGAACTGGCTGTTGAAGACAACCCGAGCTTGTTCACAACAGGGCTGACTTGTGGAATGAAAGTATGAGAAGCGCTCGCATACGACGGCACAACGTCTTGTGCTGTAATTCGTGAATGTGAGTAACAACACGCAACGGTGCAAAAAACGAAACCAACCAGATGTAATTGGGTCAACTACTATAGTTGTTGAAGTATTACGAGGAACGGGGTTCAGTAAGACTAACAAGCAAGACAGATATCGTTAACGTACCTGTGCGCTGATTCGTGGATCCTACGATAAAACATGTAGCGGGAACGATGACAACTAATATGAATCAGCCTACCAGATTGAATATTCACAGTTACAAAGAGGATGTCAGTTCAAGTGAAATTTGAGATTAACTCTATACGCACGATGTTGAATAGTAACAGGAGGTAAAAAGGATAGAGGGATACGGCCTTCCAGTGACGACTGCACAAGAGGCAAATTATCAAATATCCAGTTACAATCAGAAGATTGGCATCGTTGCTGGAATTCGAGCCCAAATATCGCATCGTAACCGGGTAGTTCATCGAGAACGATGAAATCTAGAGGCAACGTGTAACCGAAATTGCTAAGTCCGAAGTTAACGGTGGCAACGATGACATCGCAGTGCCAGTTGCCGATATTTGCAGCCCGAATAAAAGATCTTGATATGACGGATTGAAAGATGGTGACATCTAGTCCTGCAAGGCAAGGTCGGCCAGAGATAGTGAGCAGCATAAAGGGCCACAAAAGAAAATCGTGGTCAAAAGCCAAATTGTTTTCATAATCATATAGCAACCCAAAATGGTAACTAACAGACGATCGATCGAGAATCCTAAAGCAGTCACTGGCGGATGATCGTGCAAGGAATCCTAGTTCCTGAAATGAACTGCTACAATACCCACTACCTAAAGGTAGCGGGAATATTTCAGTCTCGAAAGTTTGCTTGTTATACTTTATATACGTAAACTTTGATCTTTGCAAAATTATAATGTCCACCTACGATTCCAATACTTAAAAAGGTGAGCATTGCAGTATTGAAGACTGTGTACCTTGAGTATTTATACGGAAGGAATGGTAGATAGTTAGGTCATGATTGAGCGAGTGGCTCACATTGACACCATCCTAGAGCATCATAAATGATTATTCTATTAGAATGAGTACCAGGGAGTAGCATTGGACCGTTCGTTGATAAGCTGCACGATATTGTCCTGGCCTGTCCTGGCCCTGAACGACCTGTATGTGAGACTATTAGATATAAACTATACAGTAACGCTCATGAAGGTTCCTGGGGAAAATATGTAGCCGCACATTACATGTTGAACGCAGCCCCCGTTTTCATTGTACAAGCATCGTCGCGATACACAAACCGGCGAAACCTCGAAGAACGCTCCCTACCTCAGTAAACTTATCCTTATCCGACTTTCCGTGGCTCATCGATGCGTAGAATAGGTCATCGCAAAGCTCTCTTGCCCTCTTCATTCAGGAAATTCAACGAAACCCTCATTGCGAGCGAAGCGAAGCAATACTGGCCATAGGGTGAAAAAATTTCGTCAATTCTATATTCGCAAATCCCACGAGGTCACAGCCACCGCCGTTTTTGGTAATCCCCTGTAAATCCCTCGTCCTCGAATTCAGTCGCGACTGTCTATCTTCCATTACCTTGTACATTCTTACTTGCTCAGTGGAGGTGCGCCAACACCGACACCCCTCGAAACTTTCTTTTCGAAGCGAGCACCACATGTGAGACATACTTGGAACGGAGGAAGGAGGCTCACATGCGAATGCATGTTACTCATAATGGCAATACTGGCATATGTGTCTTCATTTGGGGGAATGCTTTGGTGAACGTGGCACATTATGGCGAAAATTTACTGTCGACATGGTGCATCGGGGCGATTAGTTTCTACAATGGACGTAATTCCGAAAAAATAGCAAGGACTGAGGAGATATGTATTTTGCATATTCATGAAGACGGCTATTGAATGTCGAGGATGGATGCGTCGAAGAAGATTGGAAACACACTCAGAACTACTGAGTGGTAGTTGAACGTTGAGGTGTGAAATCAAGCTTCTAAATTTGAGGAATTGACTCAAGAATACCCATAGGATCCATGGATCTATTGTATGCATTGCTCGAAGGCTTATAACCGGCATGTTGCAGGTCTGCCATCGAAAGCCGCACATTCAACCACAATCCTTTGTATCTTTCAGTATCATCGATGGACGATGAGTAGCCTTGAGTACTCGAGTAGCGATACTAGTCCTCGGGTGTTCGGCGCGTACCATACCGCCTCACACCGCTTGGAAGAACTATGAGGCCGGAGGCTCCCGCGGGCAGACGGAACCTTCTCCTCGCGAAACCAATTCCAAACTTTACCCGTTATCGATCCATCTCGCTTTAATATAAATATCCTTTGTCGAGTTCCGGCTTCACACCAGCTTCCTCCTTTCGACCACAATAAGTCTGTCATGGCTTCCACTCTTCTCTCACAAGTAGGTGAACTCCTCACGGTCGACATCGACTGTATGGATCCCGAGGTCGCCAAAAGACACACAGCATCAACAGTGACTCCTTTCTTCTGCGATATGACCTCAAATCAGGCTATTGTTGGCGGCGAGGCGAGGCGTCCGGAGCAGGCTGCTTTGTTACGCTTGGCTATTGACCAAGTCAAAGAAAAGCACAATCCAGACTCGGATTCATTTGCACAGGACGTGATCGATATCTTTGTACGTTTTGCCCTCAATTTTTTCCCCACGCAATGCTACACGGACCAGCTGACTTATTCGTGAATTCACTTCAGACCGTCCTTCTGGCAAAGCAGGTTTACCCGTATCTCCGGGGAAATGTGCATGCCCAAACCTCTCCTCCAGCCGCGTTTGATATTCAAAAAACTGTTGTTCATGCTCGAAAATTGGTGGGACTGTTTGAGGCAAATGGCATCCCCAAGTATGTCTTAGCATATTTGTTCAAGTGCGGAGTTGAGCTGATCGCCTTGATTGGTCGAAGATCTCGTGTTTGCATAAAAATTCCTACTACGGCGGAAGGCATGGTGGCTTGTGCTCAGCTGAAAACCGAGGGCATTCAAACACTTGCGACGTGTTTGTTCAACGTTCCTCAAGCCTTAGCAGCTCATCAAGCCAAGTGTGTATATGTCGCGCCGTATTTCAATGGTATCATCGCATTTTTCATCCTCATACTCGCTCACAAAGTTAATGCTTACTATTATTTTGTGACCTTTCAAGAGCTTCGTGTGCACTTTGAACCCACTATCTGGCGCGAATACGCTGCCCCAGGCAAGGAGCATCCCATGTCGCAGGTGATTTTCGATGTGAAGGCAATTTACGGGAAGGTCGGGTCAAAAACAAAGGTCATGCCTGCTAGCATCGTCACGCCAAGAGAAGTGAGTATCCTGGTATTTTTTGAATCCCCAAACGCTCACTAATATTTACCTTTCCTCTTCCAAGGTCATCGGCCTGGTATCCCTCAAACCAGATCACCTCACAATCTCTGGCGGAATCCTTGACAAGCTCGCTGCTTTACCACAAGTAGCGCCTCAGGATTTCGACAGTGGCTTGAAGATTACGGAATTCGCAGAAGAAATATTGTCTGCAGATTACCTGGCTTCGGATGGTATCCTACTGAAAGAGGCTTTGGAAAAAGATGTCGAGTCAACAAGGAAGCTGAATGACGCGTTAAAGTTGTTTGATGAGGCTGAAAAGAAAACAAAGGAGTATATCCATGAAATTGCTATGAAAGAGCACTAAGTACTACTCGAGTCCAATAAGGGAGTGCTGAGACATTTCATGAGGGTAATTATTATTAGACGCTTCTTTCCATTTCCACTGGCTTTCCTCAAATTTCCTCTCCGCACTCTGATTAGTATTCTAGGCTGTGTAGATACATGTCCGAATTGGCAAAATTTTAATGTGAGGACTGAGTAGTTCGTCCTGTCCCCGATTTTAATAAATTTTGTGCTCTTCAATTGCAAAAGCAGACTGGATCCCTCACATTTTGAGTAGCTGCTAATTGGCAGTGACAGGCTATGACCTGTTATTATAAGGATACATGAACTGACATTGCTGGACTACAATCATCTTGAAGCCAGATGCCACAGGGAAAACCGGGATACCTGCATTAGGAATGTGTGTTCCAATACTGTAATCTAAGTAGAGATTGTACAGTATGGTAAACTGGAGTAAACTGGTCGTTCGGGAATCGGACCTCGCCAGTATAATTTAACTATCCTATCCTATCCTATCCTATCCTGCCTCTTGACGGCATCCAATTCACAGCCTCGAGTTTTTGAAATTCCTCCTTCTTTCTCCCGCCCTTTGCGGTCATCATAAATCCTGCTTTCCTCTTGGTTTCTTCGGATCTACGTTCCGCTTTGTTTCCGACAATGGCATTGCGCTAATTAAGCTTCCATTTGTCTTGAAAAACAACGGAGTGGAAAACCTTCGGAGTTCTTTGGACTACTTACATTGTCTTTCACTGTGCTCTGCTGGGCTTCACTAGTGCTTCAGCAGGCTTCAGCTCTCGAGCATCTTCACCCACATGGAACCAATCATCCGACGGCCGCAACTTTGAGAACTTGAAGCATGAAGGGTTGATAAACCTTGAGACCCGGACTAGCGAATTGGCAGCTGTCAATCCCTTCGTATCATGGCACATTAGGGCACGTCATTAGCGTCCAGCGCTCCGAGTCAACCAAAGGCATCTCACAACTGCTATCCTGGATTTCGAGGCCCTTGAGTCTGCTCTTCGTGGCATAAAATCAAATTCTTCTTTCAGATTGAAAACTGGGAGCCTAAAGTATCCTACTTGCAAGAAAGATGGTAAGTTAATGGGTACGAGTACAAGACTGTACAAGAGTTACTTTCATAATTTATCAATTATTGACAATGACAGGAGCGTCTAGTGCTTACCGACTGATTCGTTACCAACCGCCATCAGGGGTAATCTATTTAGTATCTGGTAATCTCCCAAATCACCTCAAATCAGTCGATCACTTTTCTTATAGCGAAACAACAGAGGCTAACAGAGGCCGCCGCTTATAATGACAGCTTTCAAAAAATGAAACCCTGAGCATTTCTCCCAGCTTCTCTGTCGCTTCGTCTTTCTCTTGCGGTTGACGATCGTACCTCGAGTCACTAGTCCCCAAAGTAGATTTTTTTTCCTTGAACGACTCGACAATGGCCTTCCTTCCTATCTTAAGATTGGCCGTGCTCAGTCAGTCCCCCATGCTCTGACCCCAAAGTTAATGGCTAATTTTCGCGTTTCCAGTCGCCACCACTGTGTTCGCAATCATTGTCCTTGGAATCTCCGCACACCTGACGTCCTTGTCGGAGGAGTTTCTTGGAGGTTACTTCGTGTTTGCGGCCGTGGCTATCGCTGCAGCCGTATTGACTATGATCACATTGCCTGCTATGTGCGTTCATAGCTTTTACCACTGGCAACATGACCTATTCGTCCTTTGTTTTCTAATTAAAAAAATAGGATTGGTATCGATTTCCTTCGCCGTGGCGCTTTCACATCAATGGTCCTCGTTGAACTTATATGGGTCTTTGTCCTGTGGGTTCTTTGGATTGCTGCTGCTGCCCTCGCAGCGCAGGAACAACAAAACGTGTTTGGAGAGGGAAATTCGTGCAATTACATCAACAGTGAGTGCATATGCTGGGCTTGCTCGTAAATCTCGTACTAAATGCCCCTACTTCGTTCAGCTGACCTGGCCACTGCGTGCCACGAGTTCGGTGCTATCGAGGCGTTCAGCTTCTTAGCCTGGATAGTTCGTGAGTCACAATCAATTTTTCACTCATCTTCCCTTGACCTTTTTTTATTTTATAGTGATGGGATACAATATTACCCTTCTTGTCTATGCGATCGTTGGTGCCAACCGCGGAAACAAAACCTGGACGTCTACCGTTGGTGATGGCCTCTTAACTCCTCGCGGAGATGCAGTACCAGTGACACCTATGTCAACGGGTGGTGAGTACAGCGGTGCTGCCCCGTCGATGCAATATCCACCACAACAGCAACCGCAGTGGACTGGACAGTCAAATCACACGCCGATGACTGCACAGGTGTAAGCGCAGAATATCGTAGTTCTGTCTCAAGTCAGAGAAGCATAATTCCCTTGGTTCATGGTCTACTACCTAACTTATCATGGTTATTTCTACTCATATCGCCTCTTCCAATACATTTCATTGACAACTTGAACTTGTTACAAATGTGCCCATCTTATCTGTACCGCAATGCAACAGTTTATTGAGGTCCGAACATTTACATGATATTTTACATCCTGGTCATAAAATTATAATTTGTCATGCAACAACGTTGCAGGATATAATCCGATTCACAAATCAAACGCGACACTCCTCCATCCCCACTCATCTTCCTCCATTTGCTCGGCTCTCTGTCTTCCTTCATCTATACCTTCACGCACTCCTTCAGCAACGTCCGCTGCTTTTTGAACCACATTCTGAGCACCCTGCATTACATCTGCAGCATGCTCGAGCCCATCCTTGACAACTTCTCCTGCTTGGTCAACAGCATCCTGAACAATGGCCCCAATGACCCCGTCGACGACTTCAGTCGGTTCTGTCGAAGGCAGAACGTTTGAAACAAGATCTGCTTTGTCTGGTAGGAGCTGAGGCGCAATGCCGATTGCTATTGTAGTCGTATTTGTTGCGACAAGCTTGTCTTTAACCCTTTGATCAAGTTCACGTTGAGATCTATCCGATTCATGGCTATTACCGTCCAGTTCAACCACGGTATGCTCAACTTGCACGCCCCTCGCCCTGGCTTCCTTCATCTTCGTGTGTACTATCGTCTCAGGTCCCTCCTCCACTGCAGTGATCTCTCCTAAAACTTCCATGATTGAGGCCCAAACGTCACCAAAACTGACTTGAGATCCATAAAGATCAGGAGGGGCTGTCATTCTACCTTCAGTCGCTAACACATCGGCCTCAGACTTTATCTTCGCCGCTCTCTTCCTGGCTCTTCGCTTTGCTCCCCTGAAAACACGAACCGTCAGACCTACGACAAAATCACAGCCCCGCTCGATACCCTGCGCAAAAGCACTCTCGAGCTCTCGTCTTATCACGAGTTTTGCTAGAGGAAGCACTACAGGTCGAAGGAGAAGTGCAAGCAGAATTTTTCGTGGAAGGGAGGTGAGCATGCTGAGGAGGGTACTACGGGGTAGAGTTCGGAGGCGGGGAGTGATATTCAGTGTGTGCGGGAGTACAAAACGGACATTTGACGCTCTGAATGGAAGATCCGCCTCAGGATCTGATTCGTCCCCCGAGTCATCAAGAGAGAAGAGATTTTCGAGCCATGTAGAGGTATCGAGATCGATATCTACATCCAGAAAAGCTCCATCATACTTAGCTGCACCCATTATATTACCATTGATATCCTGAAATTCAAATTCTAGATCCAAGACACCCTCGTCTCGGACACCCAACCACGTACCAAAGACGGTGCTGAGGACGTTATATCGTGCATAGTACGCGATATTTTCTAGCGTGAGACGTTGGGTCACCTTAGACGTTACAGACAGATGCGGGTTCGCGGGTTCGCCCCTCGAAGTATGATTTGGTTCATTTAGTATCGAAGGGAGGGAAGATAATATTCCCTCAATATGCACGCGGATTTTGTGTAGAGTCTTGATCTCTGTTTTCATCCTGCCACCTCTGCTTCGAGATCTCTCTTCGAAGGATTTGTCTTGAACCAGGGCAAGTAGGTGACCGCGCTGGTCGTCCGAATCGATGTACGGATCCTCCGAAGCTGGATCCCGGTCCATATCATTGAGTGGTGCTCGCAATGGTGAAGTTGAAGGAACGGTCACCGGCGATGCGGAAGTCGTAGCTACGTCAAAACCGACCAACGTCGGGGCCTGGACTGGCACTTCATGGTTCATGTCTTCTCCAGGGACATTTAGATCTATGAGAAGCGGCTCAGCGTCAACGACCATAGTCTTCGTATGTGAAGAGAAAAAGTCAACTCGCGTCTCATTCCACTGTGTAATCGAAATGGACGAGGGCGTGAGCAAGTTTGCTAAGTCAGTTTGATTTCGTGTCCGAGTTCCAAGTTCTCTTTCGAGCTCCGTGGTACGCATATAAGCAGCCCCATATCCCCCCTCTGCATTGACATACGGATCTGTGATATCAGAAGGAGGCGAAGAGCAACAACACCAGCGAAAGCAAGATGTTAGTCTATCTTCCTTCCACTGCGATTCCATTTCCTTGTCATCAGAAATTCGGATGTGCATCAATCTCATATCGAGGGCACCTTCTAACCACCTCGATGCTGTTGTGGTGCCTGAGAACTCGGAGCCAGTGGGTAACAATGAAGATGAAGAGGGGAAAGTGCTGGTATCAGACACCAATTCCACGCGCGGAAGAGGAAGAGGGAATCTCTGTTCTCTCCTGACGCTTTCAGAATATGTCGCATCAGGATTTGGATCGTACGAGTGATTCGTCGTGGGTCGAGTCATAGCAATGTTCTTTTGAGAAAAGAGATAGTCCATCACTCCTCCCACAACTTTTGGAATAAGATACCCAATAAGGTCGTTCAAAACTGTCGTGAGGATCGAGGATAGAGGGGTCGTCTTTGAGGAACGCCTGAGATCCTCTCCAAGCAGGTGTGAGGAAGGCTGAAAATAGCTTTGAATATCGCGACCTAACGTAACGAGAGCACGCGCAAGCCGTTGGGAAGAACGGTCATCATAGAGTGCGGCAAGGAACGTCTCAAGCTCCTGGTAGAAGATGTGAAGCTTAGGGGTTGGTATCGGGTGTGACTCAATATGATTGGAATTCAAGAAGGGGGAGGATGAAGAGCCGGTTTCTCGTTTCACCTCCCGCACCTTCTCAACCAGCACCCTAGTGTCGCTGCGGAAGAGATTTGACGCGATGTATTCCACTTGCTCAGTATCTGAATTTTGACTGGTGCCCGTACCGAGTGCCGAGTCCGCGATAAGGTTGACAGAAGTTGCGATCTCAAATAGAAGGCTAGATTCATTCCTTTTCTTTATTTGAGAACTGGGACCGTCGAACTCCTCATTCTGATCAAATTCATCTAGGGGAAGGACAACGACATCTCGAAAAGCACGCAGTAATGAATCTAGCGACCCTCCATGATTCCCACTGCGGGTTAAACGATCCAGCAATTCCTTGGAGGCGGCAAGAATCGATGTGAGGTGCCGCCACTGAGGTGTATCGGAATCAGAAAGATCGAGCTCTGGGATATATGATCCGGGATTCCTGAGTCGCAGGGCACACAAGGCTCTATAATGATTGATATATCTCCGAGTGAGTAAGAGAATTGTCCGCAGAGCAGAAATTTGGGCTGGATGTTTATGAATGTCGAGAAGAGTCTATAGAAGAGGAAAAATCAGTACATTAGAATCAATAGCAGGGCCGAAAGTACCTGTTGAATAGCCTCAATAATGGCGTCTTTTCGGTCCTCCGTTTGACTGGCTTCGGCCTTAGCACGATCTGCATCTAGGTGTTGCTCTTGTCTACGTTGACTTTCATCAACGAAGTTGTTTGTGGGTTCCTTCATATCTTGTTGACGGGCAACATGCTCCTTTTGCCGTGCTTGAACTTCACATATCGTATGTTCAGTTATCTCATGCGTGTGGTCTTTCAACCCTTCCAGGCCATGCAGTGGACCACCCTCAGAAATGGCAAGTAATGCAACACGTTCGGTATCCCTTGCGACGTCTCCTATTCCCATCGCACTTAGCCCTACACCTTCGGCAGCGACATGGACTTGATCGACCAAATTGACTGCACACTCGGTCAAATTTTGTGTCGTCTCTGCAGCACGAGCAACTATTTCCGCAGCGTGTTCAACTTTTCGCACTCCCTCTACAAGTGACGAGGAAAAGTATTGGCGCGCTAATAGAAAGAGGTTGCTGGTTACGATGCGAAAGGTCGTTGAAGTCAGGAAAAGGGCTAGAAGAGAGTAGAGGGATGCGAATAAGAGTGGAATGTCGGTTTGAAGTTCAGAAGTGATAAGGGATGTACGTTGGAGGACAGGATCAAGTTCAGTGGGTGGTTCAAGGATTATCAATTCGTCTGGTTCTGGAGGAGTATAAGTCAGGCACTGGGCATGATATATGATATTCTGGACCTTGTCGTCGTCTGAAGAATTGATTAGATTATGGTTAAATTCTCTCATTACTTGAAGTCGATACCGACAATTCTTCTCCAAGCCAAAAACAGCTAGCAGTCCGAGAAACTCCCTCACGTCCAGCAAGACTTTGTGGCCAGCCAGGCTGGAACTTCCCTCCGTTGGATATAATATTTCTGACTTTAAGGCAACTTTGATGAGGTGGTTCAGTTGATGCTGGGAGGGCAGTTTACCCGCATCTAGTGCTGCTACGATGTGTACGAGCTTTCGAAAAAGATGCTTTACCTGTCGTGATTCCTCGAGTTCCGAGTCTAATAGTGGCTCGCGCTCTTCCCTGCACCTTGCGGGTTTACGAGAGCGGATAAACGAGACGAAAAGTCCCATACGAGAGGATCGAAAGTAAGAAGATCAGATAATGATGACGTCATTTTCAAAACTCTACGACAGTATACGTTACAGTACAACTTCAATGTTTAACTCGTCCCTTGACCTTGTTATGATCAGTCTTTGGAGCTGCACGAATGGCATCGAAGATATCCTTCAATCCTTTGTCCATAAGCGTATCACCAGATGGCTCCTTTGCCACTTTGATTGTTGCAGAAGAGTCAACAGCGGCCACCTTGTGGCTTTTGCTTTTTTTATTGTTATGAGAAGAGTCGAAGAGTTCGTCAATCTCATCTTTGACCCGGGTCTCTCGCTTCCGTTTCTTTTTGAAGACAGAAGGATCTGCAAGTTCGGCGGAGGGAATGTTTTTGGAATCATTTTTTGCGTCGTTGGCATTAGTGGTAGAACTGGAATGATTCTCAGCCTTTTTATTTGACTGTGCCGTTTTCCACTCGTCCGGTCGACGCTTGAGTAGATAAAGATTGAGGTTTCGACTAAAGAATTTCCCGTAGTAAGACCCTGCGAGAGTCTGTTCTTGGGGTATCAGTGACCGGGCAATCTTTTCCTGGATCCAGAGAAAGGATTAGATTCATCTGAAAGAGATTGTAGATAGAGAATGATACCTTCAGATACGTATCGGCGAAAGCAAAGCACCTATCGCCTACTCGACTACCTATTCGATCATCAACGAGGAGATGATAATTTCCTATAAAGCTCTGCACAAAGGACCGTTTGACTTTGATCGGGACCGTCTCAGAGTCCAAGAGGACATCGAGAACTCTGGAGCTCGTTGCGTTATGTGCAATTTTAATAAGTTCAGATGAATCGAGGGCTTCCAAACTGGCATCAAGTGAATCAGGCTCAACTTCAAATGACGCAACAAGATACATTATTCATACCTGTCTATCACAGGTTGGTTATGCGGGGACGAAAGCTTGAGCAAACTTTGGAGTAATAGAGAGCCTTGGATACTTGACTGTGTAGAGGGTTCATTGTCTATTTTACGCTTATTCTCGTGAGTGGATGAGGAAGAAGGTTGTGCGCTTTTAGATGAAATGAACACCTGAATGGGGTACGAAAGGTTATGGTTTGGTCTGGTGGAAAAGAATCAAGCGCAAGCGCACCGACAGCCTTTTTAAAGATAGCATACATGGCACAAGGTACTTCTTGTCTTCATCTGAAGCAAGGTTCAGTGCCGAGAATGCAGCCTAAGGATATACGTCTGAACAAAAAATGGGCTGATCCAAGAGCGAGTTTACCTCAGTAGCACCCTGTTCCGAAGTCCGCAAAGCAACAGATCGATCCACCGCAGCGCGCAAAACGCCTGTCCTGGACGTCGCTGTATTTCAACAACATGCATCAATACAATTCTTGAATTGAGTAAATGGACGTAGAAACATACTAATCATCTTCTCCCATACATCCTGCAACTCCTCATAGGCGATTGCCAACTGATTGACATCAGCTCGTTCTAACGCTTTCGCTACAACAAAATTGCCGACAGGATGAATAGCAAGTCGAGGCAATTTACCCTGGAGATATGTGTTCCAGATTAATGCGAACGGTTTAGCGGACGCTCGTGACAGAACAGTCTCTAGTAGGTGAGAAGAAGTTGGGTCTCGAAAGAGGGTTCCAAGGTAATCGGATGGGTCAATGGATTTGGTGTCCTGATCGACTATACACCGGAGACACGAGGTGAGCAGGAAGTGAGAAAGTAGATAGAGGACTTACGAGATGCAGAAACAGCACCGACAGTCACTCGGTCCATCAAAGAACCATGCTCGTCAGCCATTTCCAATTCAGCTTCCACATTGAGGAGCATCTGAAGAGAAATCTGAGTACTGAGCGATAGCTCGCCTTATTCATGCTCTCACCAGTAAGCAAGGGCTAGCAACTTTATCTGCGGCCAATGCACGAACTTCATTATCTCCTAGTTCATTCCGAATGGCTTCGACAAATCTTTGACTCATAGTACGAAACTCTGGGAGCATTTGACGGGATGTCACCTCTTTGCTTTTCCCCTTCTTGTCGTTGAAGACAGACATCAGAGGTCCCTGCCGGGATTTCCAGTGTGCACTTTTTTTAGACCGCATCGCTCCTTGGGAGGTTTCGTCGGAGGTGTGATTTGATGAAGGACAGAGTAATCCGAGAAGAGCACGAATAACATGTGAAGCGAACGGATCCATAACCAGGGAGCCAAGAGATGGCAGTAGTTCCTGCAACTGAGTTCACATTGAGTCGAAGGATGATGCGTTGAGACCAACCTTGCATATATCCAGAATGAGATCGACGGCAGTTCGCAGGTGGCCTTCGGAGGCTGCCTCAGAAGCTGGCGCTACGATACCCATGGTCTAAAGAAATGCACTGAACATTCGGAGTAAAATGAAGAAAGAGACAAGCAGAACACACCTCGCGCGCAACTGTTTCGGCAGCGACACTGAACAGGGTTTGGCACACATGAGACGCAAAACGATGTTTGACTAGGGTTTCGAAGCTGTTTTACATGACTTTAGCAATGGCTGCACGATCTAGATTCATTAGTTTACTCACGAACCAGATAAACTGTCCAAAAACACCCTGCGCACAAAGTCATCCATCGAATACGCCATCCTCTCCAGAATTATTGAGCAGTCAGGGTCAGTTGCTAATTGCTTCTCCTTCTCTCGCATCTCGCTGAGTGCAGCGACAAAGAACATGTGCTTTTCTGTAAAAAGTATAAGACAATAAATCAAATTTTGATTACGGTCGTTCTGACCTGCATTGGGATCGACGTTTGCATCACCATCTAAGTGCTCTTGTTGACCTTCCTGCCATTCACGGATCTGTAAATCGACAGTGCGGAAATATGCCTTGACATCTGCATCGACATAACCGAAGGGAGCCTCTGGGTTGAATTCCGAGTCCTCCCCGGAAGCGGTAACGATCCAGGAAGGGCCAACTTGGGGCTCGAGTTCTGCCTGAGGCTCGGAGCTGGCGTACGGGATCGTCTCGTCAGTAGTCTTGAACTTGTGTTTCTTCCCTCGTTTCCGGTTTTCTCGAGGCATCGTATTTAGAAGGGCAGCGGAGACGGAAGTCAAGATTTCCTTCAGGAAATTTTTGGCAGACCGGCAGGCATTTTGACGCCTTATTCATCACACCTTCATCTTCACAAATGTTCATGATCAGTAAGTAATACCTTTTCCTTTCCGACACTGCAATGGCGTCCAACGAAGGTCGAATACCACAGCGATTCCAAACCATCAAACGAGTCATAATCGTGCTATCCGGTAAAGGGGGCGTTGGCAAATCTTCTGTTTCAACTCAGCTTGCTCTGAATCTCTATAACTCTTCACCAAATGCTCGAGTCGGTATTCTCGACGTTGATCTCACTGGGCCCTCGATACCTCGTATGCTTGGTTTGGACGGACATCCTGTATACCAGAGCAGTGATGGATGGGTTCCTGTTTTTGCAGATGGTTCAGAAGGTAGACTCTCCTGTATGAGTGTCGGCTTCCTTTTGAAAAAACGCGGGGACTCAGTCGTTTGGAGGGGGCCAAAAAAGAATGGAATGATTAGGCAATTCCTCGGCGATGTCCGATGGGGAGAGCTTGACTATCTGATCATTGATACACCTCCAGGTATACAATAATGAATGCCGTTGCCTCTGTTGTATCTGACATGAATTTGGTTCAGGTACATCCGATGAACACTTATCTCTCATGGAACATCTGGCTCCTGCTCACTCCAAACTGTCCGCCGTCGTTGTGACCACACCGCAAGCAGTAGCTCTTAATGATGCTATGAAATGTATATCTTTTGCGCGAACGGTCAACCTTCCTATAGTGGGTCTGATCGAGAACATGAGTGGATACGTCTGTCCGTGTTGCGGAGAAGTTAGCAATGTGTTTTCGACAGGTGGAGGAGAAGCCATGGCACATCGGGAAGGTCTGACCTTTCTTGGTAGCCTTCCTGTTGATACTGAACTCGTTACACTTCTGGATGCGAGCCCTCCGAATGGGGATGCTGCCTCTCAAGCTGATCTTGGGAATACGACTTCGTTTCCGCTAATGCTCCGGTACAAATCTACTTCATCCTCGAAACTGTTCGAAGCTATTCTGGAGAGGGTGCTTAATTCACCACAGAATGATCAAACTACAGGGTAGTCTTCGTCCATCATATCCGCACAATTGTATAGTATAATATTTTCCTTGGACAAGCAGAGCATGTTGAAAGGACATGAACATTGAGCTAAAAAAAAGAGGCACAAGTACGGTATGATATATACAGTCCAACATAGATCATATTTCTATGCTTCAAAGTCTATTCAAAATTGGCTTATACACAATCCTCGATAACATTGATACCACTCTCTATCCATCGTGACCCTCCACTTAGGATGGGGCTCTGAGTCTGGAGTTTGAGAGTTTGCAGTGTATGCGGCTGCCTATCCGACCTAGAATTAAGGAAACGTACTAGCTCTTGTTCAGAACAACCCTTGCCATGGCACTGAAGAGTGAGTGACTGGAGCATGCAGAGTAAAGGTTCAGATATCGAAGTTGACCCGCTTCGGCAAATGAAAGTCAATGCTCTCAAGAGCTTGTCCGTGATAGCAGGTCCTTCGATTTCTTCCCCAAGGCTGAAGAGTAGCTCCGCAGAAGTTACATACGAGGTTGCTCTTAAGCAATCTATCAGCTGTTCCTCAGACAAAGGAAGATATCCCAAGCTAAGAGTTTCAAGTGTTGGTTCCACTGCCTCCAAAAATGTCACAAAGGATGGGTGGCAAGAGGTCCACAAAGACCGATCGTTATCGACAAACCATTCAATACGGAGAGAGATGAGCACATACAGCTCAAGACGATTGAGAAACATCGTGAGAGCTGTTTGTGGACTGGACGAATTGTCTAAACCATGGCTCGAACGACTGTAGACGCTGAGGTGCAATTCAGATAGAGCCGGCAGGATAAATTTATCTACTGCGTGTCCAGAGTGCTCCGATGATCCATCGAAAAGGCATTGAGCATAAAGTTTACAGCAGCTCAAATTGGGGTGCTGTGCAAAAATAACGCCACAATCGTCGAGCGTTAATACACGACCTGACTCGAAATTGATGTGTAAACGTGTGAGCTTCCCGCAGTTCGAAGCAAGGTTGCGGACATCCAAAAACTCCGAGTGGATGGAAGGAATTGAATTGAGTACCAACGAACTGAGCGACGAGAGGTCAAGTGCAGGTGCGGCACTTGAAAGGGGCGCGAAGCAGGAACTTGGCATCGACAGCTCGATGTCTTGCCACCTCGAGCAATGTTGCATAAGAAGCACCAACATTTCGGATGGGAAGCGAGATAATGTTCCCTCTCGCGAAGCTAGAGGCTTGTAAAACAGCTTTACGTGTAGGGGATAATTACCCGAACGACGGAGCCACAGCCTAACTCGCGAGAGAATCCGTGCGTCCCCTTCCGTCCCCTTGAAGTTCTGTTCCCATGTTCCAAAGTGGATCTCGAATGATGACCAAAGTCGAGAAGTGGCATATGCTAGATCTCTCCAGTATTTGCATACCAGGAGCAGGACTTGAGGGACTTCATGTTCAATCATTAGCTGACCGTAAGGATATGAAGCACATTCTATGAATATTTGGGTTTGTAGCTCGATAGGAAGTCGTAAAATGAAGCAATTGTTATGGCCAAAGCGTGTAATATCCTGGCAGTCACTATTGAATCTACAAGCGAAAAGCCAGGGTATGCATTTACGAACCTTACAGCGAGGATTCATGATGAGGAGATAGAATTTGAAGCAGAGCAGTAATGTCAACAAGACTGGATTCAAAGATTACTATAAAGAGGTATCAAAGGGTATCAGAGGTAACTTAATCTAGAGAGGACTTACTAAGGGCGAGGCTGCTACCAAGGCGCAGCGTGTTTTATAGTTTCCTCATAACAGTAAATATGACGCACCCAGGAACCCTCACAAACTGTGCTTTGGACAAGTACCATGACGCACCAGAACGATGAAAGGCAGCGGACAACGTCCCACGAGGCACGTCAGTGGAGTTGTCTTAAAAACGACAGGCCAGGTCGGATATGATCATAATATCATTCCGAGCAACATGAATTCCATTCCAGCTTTACTACAGATTCAATTGGCTTCAAAAGTACTTTCCGAAATCGTAGGATTCCTTGTTTCCCTCATCAGACCTTATTTTGGGGGGTCGGTTTTTGGAAGAAGCGTTTGCAATCGGTTTCATCTTTTTGAGACTAGATTTGAGAGCTTTTCTTGTGGTTGGGTTGGCTGACAAGGATTTCGGTGTCGACGATTCCGAAACTGCAGAAACATCGGCTTTTGAGATCGCTTTATTTTTCGAGGCATGGGATTTAGCAACGAATGAAACCTTCTTGTTTGGTGGATGAGATATCGGATCCGCGCGCTTTCGTTTTTGACTTTTCGAAGCAGGTGGAGCAACCTCAACTTCTTCATCCTCAAATTCCAGCTCTTCCTCATTTTCAACCTCTTCTTTATCTCCATCTTCCTCATCCTCATCTTCCTCACTTTCCTCATCCTCATCTTCTTCTGCCTCTATATGATTTGCTTCGTCGACATCGATACCGTCATTATCCTCCCCATCACTGGTTTCCATCAATTCTGCATACGGGACTTCAGATATGACCTCCCTCGATTCTACCTGCCCCGGAGATATCTTGACAAGCCCGCCAGCCTTACGCATAGCTTTGCGAGATTTTAGACTTGCTAGAGCCTCGTCAGCCTTGGCGTAAAGCGCCTGTAACCGGGCATCGGTAGAAGGTGTGTCCACAACCAGATTGGAGGACGGCATGCTATACCAATGGATCTTTCCTATGCACCAATCCCGGAGGACAACTTTCAACGCTCCTGTCAAATGTAGCACTCCTCGCTATCAAACGTTTAGACCTCAGCCACTTGAAAGAATGTCAGGACCGACCTTTCGTACTAGCTGCTGAGAACGCGCTATTCCGGAAATAAACACATTCACATCGCCTTTGGGAAACGTTGGAAGGCCGTAGAGTAACATAAGGTCTTCCGGATTGGCTCGAGATACAAGATGAGTAACTAACGGAATTCCATCAAGGAAAGGTATGTATATTGAGTGCAAAGAGACACACCAGGACCCGACGGATCTTTTAATCGATCTATACGACCTTTGTTGCGCAATAGAATATCTCGAGCACGCACTTCATCCCAATCTGAAGAAGCTTTGTCTATTTTCCAAGAATATCCAGGGGTGTCGATGACCCGAAGCGTTCTGTTGCCTGCAACTTGGATGGTTATTTCTTGTGGCATGGTGGTGGTGGTCGGTCCACGAGGAGAGGACGCCAGAGAATATACTGGAAGGACCGTAGTTTTTGCCAATGAATTGATCAACGAACTTTTTCCAGTCTGCCAAAGAACATGTTTAATGATTTGAAAATTCAGGACGGTAGAAGGATGCCTTACATTTGTGACACCCACTACTGCTACGGTCAATGATGAACCATTCTCCTTTTCTGCTGCCCAATGACCAAGACACTCCAGTACAGCATCTCCACCAAGTGCATCATCGACAGGGTTCTTCGCTCTTCCTTTTCCTTTTGTATTAAGTTGGGCGAGAGGGTTTCCAGGTAGAAAACAGGAAGCCGAACGGAAGGGAAAAGTTGGTTGTTGCTTTCTCAAGGCAGAAGTCCAAGCGACCAGACTTTCATGAGGAACACAATCTGTGAAACCATTTTCAACGGATGACTTCGCTCGCGGAACGTAAATAAGCGACGTACCTATTTTGTTCAGCACGAAAAGTGTCTTGCGACCAGGTTTAGAGTGAACGAGATCCTCTAAGTACGAACTGCGGAATGAAAGCGGATCTCGTGCATCCAACACCTGTATCACAGCGTCTGCCTCATCCAACACGGCGTGAAGATGCGGTAAATCTCGGTTGATCAGGATAGGAGGTTCGTCTTCGCCTTCGCTTTCTTCAGCTTCAGGAGCAGGTTTGCTAGTTGCTTTGGCCGTTAACCGTTTGGCGCTAATGCTAGCAATGCCATCGTCTTCCTCGATGTTATCGTCTTGTGCATCCTCAGCAACATGTTTGAGTGCTCTTTTTTTCTCATCTTTTCGATGTTGTTTTTCCTCGGCAGCCTGATTCGTTACAATGAGTTTGAGTTTGCTATCTAGTTGATGGTGCGAAGAAGTCACCAATCTACGTTGCTCTGCAACCTCGGCCAAAATCTGGTCCTTGTAAGGAAATGTGTTCGGGATTCCTGGGTCTTTCTTATGTTCTAAAAGACATTCAGCAAGTCAATAGGATATCGCGTTGAACGGCAATCTTACTGGATTTCCATTCAACGCTCTTTTTCGCAGCCTTGGTTTTTTTCTTCCTGCTCTCTCTAACCTTTTGAGAAATTTTCTTTCTATCGTTGGTAGAACCACGTTTGCTCGTCTCTATAAGTAGAATAACGTCACATTGGTTGGCCGATATTTTACAAGGTTTACTGACTTTTTCTGATTCGTGGCATTTTGCACGTTGAGGACGATTATAGGATGAGGCAGGGATAAGGTGAAGAAAAACAGCACGCGCTAAACTTCGGGTCTTTGTACGTAAGTAATGCGGAAACAGTGACTTCTCACAACTAGGCTCCACTGTCGTGGATTGCACCTCGCTTGGGTCAGGATGTTCATCATTGATATTATGTAGTGCCAAGTAATCAGTATATCAGATACATCTGCAAAACCTGGGCGATGTTCTCCAGCTCTTGAGAGCATTTCCCAGCATTTCCCAGCATTGAAAGCACTGAAAGCACTGAAAGAAAGGATACTAGCTGGAGAGCGCTGGAGAGCGCTGGGAAAAGCTTTGGAAATTCTACTTGTATAGAACATAAAACAGTCAGCAGTTTCTAGCTTTGCCATCAAACTTGAAACTGCTTTCAAATGCTTGGAGTATTCACAATAATCGTTCCATATTTGGCCGTATTTACAAATTGCGCCCCCGATTCCACTCCCGCCCTCACTCCCGCCCTCACTCCCGCCCTCACTCCCGCCCTCATTCCCGCCCTCACTCCCGCCCTCACTCCCGCCCTCATTCCCGCACCTGCTCCGGCCCTTTCTGCCTTCCAAATTCCTCTCCTCCTTTTCCGCCTTCCATCTTCCATTTCCAAGGCTTGCCAGTATCTTACTTACATGCTGATCCCTTTTCTCTTTGTTATCGCTTCTCTGCAATGTGTATTCCCTCTGATCGTATCAGGCTACTTGGACTGGTGAGTTCTGGGAGAAACCGTAAACTAAAAGCCTTCTGATAAGGATAAATCTACCTGTACAGTTCACGAAAGATCTATATGTTTCATACGGGTAGTCTTGCCCTGCTCCAAGTTAGCTTCCAAACTAAAGTAGCGGTCAGTTACAAAGCACCTATTAAACCACGAAACTGACCCAAAACTGGACGCCCAGGACCTTAGATTTGTTTTGAACTTGGAAGAATGATAAGGTTCCCCTAGCATAGCTGTAATCATATCGGAATAGAGCCTGTGATACTCGAGATTTGAAGCTGTGGTAAAATCAATAGTCCGGGGCTTGGGGCCATCTTCGTATTTGGAAATACAGTATCGAATCTGAAATATAAAGGGGTCAAAAGATTGCTGCAGATACGATTAATAACAGTCAACTCAACGAGCATGGAAGCTAGAACAATGGCACCATGAGGTACCTCTGCCCCAAAATCCTTGGGGAAGGTTTTTGCTAAAGCCTTGTTACCGGTATAAAATAAAACTTTCACCACTTCCTTGAGGCAGGGGTGAGCGAAGTTGTTGACTCGGCCCTAATATGAACAAAATTATTAGAAGTCATTTAGGAAGACTAAGAAGGCTATAATAGTGTATTACGTTGGCGTCTCTTCCATCTTGCAAGAAGAAACTCTTCTCCAAAAGCTTGCTCACATACGCAGTTGTAAGTTCTCCCAGTTGAGAAGCGTTAAATCCTGTATTTGGCTCCTGGTCCCTGGGTAAAGGTAGTCCATATTGACTAATGACTATCGGTTCTGCTAGTCTCTTCAGCGTATTTCTGAAACTACTTTGGCTTTTATACAACTAGTATATCACACAAAGTAAGAAAGAATTAGAAATACTAGCAAATAACTCACAAATACAATGATATCCCCCTTGTGTTTATCGATGTATCCTAACAAATAAAGCAAATAATCAATCTGAATCAAAACAAAAGTAGAAAATTAAGCACCTGCTTCGACGTGGAGTCCCTTCTCCCCTCTTTCCTTTATTGATCAATCCAGACAATCGAGGAGTAGAGCTTCGTGGTTCTCCATCGTTAGAAAAGGACCTTGGAGAACCATAGCCCGGTGCATATATAACTGAGAGCCTGTAATTACTTTTTTTGCTTGAGGTGTGTAAAAAAGAAGCTTTGTAGGATCGTTGGTAGAGTTAGCTCTAGATTTACGACCTAGGCAAGTAAAATATAAGGCAAAGTAAAATATGAAAATAAATATACCTTTGGAATTGGCAGGATTTGCTGCTTCTGGGGCATCTTCGGCGTCTGCAGAAAGTTATTAAATAACCCGTATTGAATTTTACAGAAACAGACCTATATTGGAAAATTTTCAGAGAAATTGTAATATCGCAGGGGCCCTAGAACAAACAGACCTTTGGACAAAGAAGAATTGACTAAATCTGGTGAAGCAGGTCGTGTAGGCAAAGGAGAAACTGGACGAGAAACTGCACGAGAAACTGCACGAGAAACAGCACGAGAAACAGCGCGAGAAACTGGACGAGAAACTGGACGAGAAACAGCTCGAGAAACTGCACGAGAAATGGCTCCAAGCCGTGAATGAGAACCTAATGCTGCTGAATAAGATGGCGGGTAAAAATCAGATTGGGGTGCTGTAGAAGCATAGCCTAAAACCTCAAAGTTTAAACTCAAACAATGTCTGAGTAAGAAACTGCTCACGTTTATATTCCCGTGAAGTTAAAGTACTATCTTCATCTCCAAGGTTCTCCTCCTCGTTTTCTTCCTCGTCTGCGTCAGGATCGTGCTCAAACTCCGCTTGTTCCTCCTCCTCAAAATCTTCCTCAGTAGCAGATATCTGGCTTTTAGCGTGACTTTTGAGAACTAGAGGATCAGGTGGCTTGGGAAAATTTCGCTTGCGCTTCTTGATAAAATCAGTGGCAGGGTCAGCCTCCCCTTCAAGCTAGAAATTGAGTTAACAAGGGAGAAAGAGTAGGCGCAGGTTTACGAACCAAAGACTTTCTTGTTTTTTCAGAATCTAAAAGGGCAATTAGACTTCCATATCTAACATAAGAATAAAAGGACCTTCCTTCGGCAGTGGGTTCTCTGAGTTTTTCTGTAATAGAAGAAACTCCCCTCTGAGCTACTTCTGAAGCTTGAGCAGTACCGAGATGGGTAGCTTCTTGGAAACCTGTCCTAGCACTCTCAGCTACTTCGAAACCTTTCATACCTCTGTCGTCTTTGATAAACCCCTGTAAGGAATGAGACTGAGAAAAATGGTCGTATCCTCTTCCCCCAGGATAATTTCTTTCGAAGTTTTGATAAAGGCCTCTGTTATACCCCCCGTAACCGCTATCAGGACCTTTATAACCTTCCCCGTAAAATCCTCCGTAACATCCTCCGTAGTCTCTGCCTTGATTTCCTAAGTTCCCCTCGTAGCCTCCATCCTGCATTCCGAAGTTTCCTTCGTGGTAATTTCGCCTGTAACCTCCTCCTCTATTATCTGCGCCATAATTCTCATAACTTTCCCTGTAATTTCCACGCTGTCCCCAACCGTATTGGTTGTTATAACTGGGTTCTAAGTCGCTAGGACCTGTACTTCTGTATCCCAAGTTACCTTCTCCGGGGGCAAAAGGTCGAGGAAAATCTTCTACGCCCTGTGTCCCTCCGCTTTCCCTTCCCCTTCCCCCTCCCCCTCCCCAAATATCATCAGGAAGATGGAGAGTTGTACGATTTTCTTCCAGACCTAAGGGAGCATTACCACCAGGCACAGTCACAACAGAATTCGAAAAATCTTGAGTAGTCCAGCCTGCGACAAAATATTGTAAGCAGACAAGTAGAAGTCAATTTAGTTTACCTCGGAAAAAAGAAGAGTTAAATTGATTATGATTCTATTAAGTTAGTTAATGGAAGATTTAGTTAGTGAAAAGATAAAACCTTTACAATATCTGATTGTTCCCTTCGAATAGCTTCGGAAATGGGGGCCTTTGATGGAAGAGGCACTTGACGACCCATAGAAGGAAGAGGGGGAGGATATCCAGAGGTAGGAGAAACCGTAGTTGGAGAAATCGTAGGCAGAGACTTGGGAGTAGGGGGCTGCTCAGAAGAAGTTTTTTGTCCTTTACTTTGAGTGGTTGACTTGCCTCCCCTACTTCCTCGTCCCCGTTTCTGAATAGATAGCCAGATCAATATAAGAAACACTACTGGTAAGAACATACTGGTTTTTCTAAGGGAGGGGCCATAGGATTTGAAGCAGCGTCGTTAGAGAAAACGGTATTGGGACCTTGAGAGGAGGAACGTTGAGGAAGTGACATCTTGTCAGCTGCCTCAAGCATTTGGTTGGCATGTCCCCCTTTACCCTTAGTTGTTCTACTACTAGACCTCTAAATCTTTTCAGAATAGTTTTCCGAAAAAACCTCGTGAAAATCACCTCTGTATAAAATACTTTAGCTGAACGTTTGGAAGGTAGGAAAAGAAAACGTACTAGGCAAAGAAGACTTTGAATTCTTGTCAGGCTGTTTACTCATAAGAAGCGAAAGTGAAAGCAGTAAAGAGAATGCGATAGCAGAGAAGAGAAAGCAACAACAGTAAAGAAAGCAGGAAAACGTAATGTGTACAACTGGACCCACAATTCTCGACGAGCTCCGCTCCTCACTTTCCCCAGATAACATCTTTAGTACAAACTTGCCTAGTATAAAATAGAGACAAAAAAATCTTATTCAAAGTACAAATTTCGTCTCTCAATCCAATACAAGCCCGCCTGTAGCACCTCCATATTGGAACACTCTGAGTCCTAAAGTAGCTCGTCAAAACAAAACTCAAACAAATAAAATAAAATACCTTGATCCAAGTAAAGAATTTCTGTATTCTGGTCCTTTCCCTCATTCGTGGAAGTTGTTTCAGTGTTCTCTTCCCAAGGCTCTTCCATATCACGATCGTCTCCTCTGTAAGCTTCACTACCCATATCGCTATCGCTATCGCTATCATCACCGATATCCAGTCTCATGGAGGGAGGAGAGCTTGGAGCTGTAGCAAGATAAGTCTTGCGCTGGTGAGAAGAGCCATCTAAAGAGTACAATCCTTGAACGCCTGACAGAAAATGTTTGAAATATGGATTCTCACCACTTTTCCCGTAGTCGTTCAAGATCTCTTGCATATCCAAGGCTGTTTTCCTAGCTTTAGAGTTTTCTAAACGAAGTTTGTTTTGGCGACAGAGGTGAAGTTCCAGTATAAGCTTAGTTATTTGAATTTTCTGATCTAAAGCTGCTTGCTCAGTAGCACATAAAGTTTGTTGAGCATCAGCTATCCTTAGGAGATAACTAGCTTCTTTCTCCGTCTAGAATAATTAGCTTGTTAACTTACCTCTAGGAATCAAATTCTTACCAGAGTTTCGTGAGTTTCATGAGTACTGTCGACCCAAGGATGGTAAGGAGAAAAAGAAGAGGAATTTTGGAGAAAAATAGTGTCCTGGTCCATTGCAAGGTAAGGGTAAACGTCTGAGCAGTAAGCTTACTCAACAGATATAAACAAACTATATAGACTCTCTTGGGTAAGCACAAACTACCTAATTAATTAAAATAAATATTTTCGAACCAGCCAAAACCGTCTTTCTGATACAATATTCCTGTTTTATCCCCATGAACAACTATAGATCCCCTAGTACCGCTGTAAGGTAGATTGAAATGAGTGATTTTATCAGAAAAAAAAACCACTACATCTCCGTTCTGAGTTTCTAGTAATAGGCGCGGTTCGTACAAGGCTAATTCTCCTCCTTTGGGGTTACCCACAGTTATACAAATGCAAGCAGATTTGTCGTTCTGGTCGCGGTGTGCCAGAGTTCCGACATTGATGTTAAACACAATGCTGGTAAAAGGAGAGACCGGAGATGTGTCTTGCAAGGGGAGGACATCCACCGAAGCCACAAGTTCTTGAAAGACGTGAGGATGGATGAGCAAAACCTAAGGTTTTGTCAAATAAACAGGCTAGAAAAGTAAAAAGCAAGCTTACCTTCTCAACTACCCAACGTAGAACTCCCTCCAAACTCTGTTTAAGATCCGCGTAAGGCCCAGATAGTTTCTGAATGTCTTCGGAAGGATGACATAGAAGTTGACTATGATTCATCCTTCCCCCTTCTGCGTTGATCAGGTACAAAGGATGAATATCTTTAGGAGCATTGTAACCCTGGTCGGATGAAAGTTGGGGAGATTCTAGAGACTAAAACAGAAAACTTACATGAGTCAAATATCGCGTCTGATTGGTGAAGTGCAGAGATGAAAAGGAAGCAGTTTCAACTGAGGAGGAAGGTTCCTGACTCTTGAATTGAGCAGAGGTGTCTGATAAGCAAGCTTGTATGGCTATTTCCAGACTCTCCCTCAGATGCGCAGGCATAGTAGTATCCAGGGTATATAACAAATCTTTGTTATCGTCGAAAACTTGAACAACTTTTCTATAGTCCTGTGAGACAGAAGATCTAGGCCAAAAGGTTGAATTCTTACCCTTCAATAATTTTTCTATCAAGTTTGAGATAACGGGTATCGGAGAGCTGTCCCAAGCTATCGAAACGCCTATTCATCTAAAAGATTTGATTATCCCTCGGAGTTCAACCAAGCAAACAAGATATCTCACCTCTTGGGCGTAATTTTCCAAAGAGCTTGGTACAATACAATTTAGAGCCGAATATCTTTCTTTTTCTGTCCAACGGCTTCTACCCCCGTAATCCTTGGGAAAAGGTTCCTTTGTTTTATAGGGTTTATAGGGAGCTTGAAGTACTTGATGCGCGCCGGCAATATCTTGAGCCTGGAAACCCATGCGATCAAAAACTATGTGGAGAGGAGGAGAGGAGAGAGTCTGAATATGAAGCTCTTCTTCTGAGGACGATATCTCAGAAACTGCAGAGGGAGCTTGAGCAGCTTCAATCTCATTAGGTGAAAAAAGAAGAAATCTTCTCTCAAGGTAGGCGGTGCTTATAAGATGATCGTCAGTTTGGGGAAAGTGCTCAAATGCCTTCCAAGCTTCCCAATCTCTTGGAAGAGATCTAAACGTACTGGGACTTTAAAGTTAGTATATAGCGTAAATAAATCAGAAAGTTACTCACTGGAAAAAAAAAGATCCGAAATAATTGTCGCTCACTCTTAGATCTCCGCAATCAAAGGTAGGTGATAAACCAAGATTCCTCAGTAGAGAGCCATGGTATAGAGTAGGAATTGAGATAGGAATTTCTTTTCAAAGATTTGCCAGAACAGGAATCAGGTTGAGTCTAATAATATCTCCCGCAAGTCCTATAAGCGAATGTTCTAATAAGAAGAGTTCTCAGAACCAGAGCAAATAGGAAATTCTCCACCTGATGAACTAGGAGCTCTAACCTTGTTGCACAAGGCTTGTATAACAGTTACGGAGGCTTTCTTGCGGAAATATTCATCTTCTCCTTTGAAGGCAATTACTAGCAGTAAGTAAAGGGAGCCTATGCCTCACACTTAGTCCAAGGATAGAGAATATCAACTTAGCGCTTACCAGCGTTGGCTAAAAAGGCCCATCGGCTACCTGCAGACATAAAATTGCGGCTCTTATGTTCAGGAATACTATGAGTCTGGAGAGACTTGTATATCTCTGTAGGCTTAGGCCGACGACTATTATCCTTCAATCTCATCAAATTCAGGCGGCTAGAAAGCTGACCTGTTAGAGATATTTCCTAAAATATTTTCAAACCTTACCTGTTAACTTTGGCCGCGAAATAAAGTTCGTTCAACATTCGAACAAACCGCGCAGTTCCGTCAACCTTGGAAGCTAGGTTACAGCGACGGGCAATGTTGAGTAAAGAGGAAACTGCCAAGTCCTTAACGTTGTCTAAAGTCCCTTCCATGATTGCCTTCAGACCCGATACCCAGCTTGAATAATCTACGTGACCGACAGTAGTCTGGGTGCCGAAAGAAATCCTAGCCAATTGAGTGGTAAGGTCTACTGAAACATCCTTCGAAGGTTCGGCCGCTACATTTCCTGTAGCAAATCGGCTCGTTGTGTTGTCCTCGTAGTCATAGGTATCGGTTCTCCTCCTTTTTTTGGTTCTAATGCTTTTCCTAGGACAGGCAATTGGTCCTGGATCCTCGAATCCTCCTCCAGGTGTTCTCCCAGGATTTTTCTTAGTACGCTTTCTCTTCGAGGGCTGGGAATCTCTGTTGCTTGGGGGAGGCTGATCCTTCAGAGGGGACCCAGGCAGAGACTGAGAAAGAGTAGACGCAGATGAAGGCGTGGAAGGTGCCGGTTGACAGGGGGGCGATGGGGAAAGCAACTGCAGAGAATGTGTCTCAGAAGGCCTTTCGTGAGGCGTCTCGAAACGCATCTCGAAACGCATCTCGAAACGCATCTCGAAACGCATCTCGAAACGCGATTGACAGGGCGTCTCGAGAGGCATCTCGAAACGCGATTCACGGGGAATCTCGAAACGCGATTCACGGGGAATCTCGAAACGCGATTCACGGGGAATCTCGAAACGCGATTCACGGGGAATCTCGAAACGCGATTCGAGAGGTGTCTCGAAACGCGATTCGAGAGGTGTCTCGAAACGCGATTCGAGAGGTGTCTCGAAACGCGATTCGAGAGGTGTCTCGAAACGCATCTCGAGAGGTGATTCACGGGGCGTTCCGTGAGGTGTCTCGAAACGCGTCTCAAGAGGCGTCTCGAGAGGTGATTCACAGGGCGTTCCGTGAGGCGTCTCGAAATGCGTCTCGAGAGGCGTCTTGAAATGTGTCTCGAGAGTCATCTCGAGAGGCGTCTCGAGAGGTGATTCACGGGGTGTTCCGTGGGGTGTTCCGTGGGGCGTTCCATGGGGCGTTCCATGGGGCGTTCCATGGGGCGTCTCGAGAGAGCTCTGGTCAGGCGTTTCGGAGGGTGGCTGGGAAGGCAGAGAAGGAGGGGGAGATGCAGGCTGGGGAGAAGGTGGGCGAGTTAGAGACCCCGAGGGCGTCCGTGTATTTGAGTTGGAGCCTTCCATTCTAGCCTCAATGCTAACTTCACAGTATTTGGGAGTAGGCAGGGTGAGTGAGAGATTTTGTCTTGCTTTCCCCTTGAGGCTTGGACCACAACTAGGACAGAACACCTGTCTCAACTTAAAAAACCTGTATGTTTAGTTTTCAATCTTGGCAACAAAGGGATACTAACTTACAGGCCAGGAAGAGGGAGGAACAGGTTGAGGACCAGCTCTACTAGAAGGAAGAGCTGCAAGAACCTCTTGCAGAGCAGGAGGAAGTGCTTCTTCTCTAGCAAGATAACTCTGCAGGGCTAAAGTCTGAGCAGCAGATAATTTTAAAATAGTCATTACTATGAGGCAAAAGTCTAGGAATAAGCAAAGTTTACCAGCCAAACATTCCAAGATAAAAGTGAAACCTTACTTTTCTTTCCAATCTTCAAGTATATCTTACTTCCTAAGTTGCTTCGGATGAGCGGAGGGAAAAGCTCTAAGACAAAACTTTAAGCGCCCGCCGGATTTGGAGCTAAGTGTTCTAGGATAACGCGTCGCTCCAAATCCGGCGGGCGCTTAAATTGCGGCCCGCATTCTTCCTCGTCTCAAACCCTCCTCTCAGCCGACGACCTGTTCTTATTTGGTTGTTGGCCTTCTCTCACCTCTCTCACACTTGCTAATCTCCGCTTTTTTTCCTCCTCCGTCAATTTTTCTGCCACCAGCACCTTCCTCTTCGCACATCCCAACATCGAGGTCCTCCACCTCGACATCAGTTCTAAGAGAAAGGAATCTTACCACCATGGCTCCATTCTCCAAGCCTGAGACCATGCTAAAACAAGCCGAAGGCTTCGTTTCCGTTGGTCAAACTCATCCTGCCCTTCAGTCGCTTTCAGAAATGTTTTCGCCGAAGCGTTTTCGTCGAAGCATTTTCGCCGAAGCATTTTTGTCGAAGCGTTTTCGAAGTACCCCGGTCACGGCTTTGGAGCCTATCTTGATACGGTTCATGGAACTTTGCGTGGAATTGAGGAAGGGAAGGACAGCGAAAGAGGGGCGGATGCAATAGCCCAAAATACGAATGGTCGCCTCCACCGGGAGCGGCCGCCTCACATTTAGAACGAGTCGGTTGACGCCCGTGCGTGGGGTCAAGGGGGTCAGGGTTAAGGTTTGTTTCAATTCCCTTTTGTCTTGTTTTTCTCTCCTTACTTATCCTTCCACTCCCTCCCTTCCCCTCTCCTATTCCCTCTCCCTCTTCCTCCTCCACCCTCTCCTACTCTCATAGATCCTCTCCCACGCCTACGAAGCCATCTCCGAATGCATGTCCCTCCGCAACAAGGGCAACTTCCGCAAGAAAATGGGCGCCGAGGAGGAGGAGTCCCTTGTCGGCGCTACTGCCGCTGGCGCTACAATTCATGGAACTTTGCGTGGAATTAAGGAAAGGAAGAACAGCAAAAGAGGGGCTGATCCAATATAAGAATCTTGCCCAGAATACGAAAGTGGGAAGTATCGAGGTTGTGGTGGGTAGGTTTATTGAGATGGCAGAAGGGAAGGTCGTGGAGGCAAAAGAGAAAGCTAGAGAAGTCGCTGCTAAGGAGGTTGAGCTCGGTGGTGGAGCAGCTGGGGACGTTGATGACCTCAAAGCTCCATCCACACCGGAATCCATATTACTTTCTTCCGTTTCCTCACCGTCCTCTGCTTCGTCGATTCACTCGGATCGCACTTCACGTGCTCTGATAACACCATCTCTGAAATTCCTTTGGGAATCCTACCGCCCATCCCTCGAAACTCTCAAAAACCCCGCTCACCTTGAAACGATATATCAATCCGTGGCTCAAAAAGCATTCCGTTTCTGTCTTATTAACAACCGTAAAACCGAATTTCGTCGTTTACGCGAGACTCTTCGCCTTCATTTAGCGAATGTAGGGAAATACGCTACTCAACAGCGCGAATTACACACCGCAGGGGCAGCTGCGACTAGAGCGGGACATTGTCAGATCAATCTAGGGGACCCGGATACGCTGCAAAGGCGTTTAGATACGAGGTTCGCACAGTAGAATGCCAGCGTGGAACTGGAGCTCTGGCAGGAGGCTTTTAGAAGCATTGAGGATATACATAATCTGCTGACGATGGCAAATTCGATGCCGCAGATCGTTCGGCCTTTGCATACCTTTGCTGGCGCCCCTGCAACTACCACTCTTCCCTTGTCGGCGCTACTGCCGCTGGTGCTGGTGGTTCCGTTACTGCCAAAGCAGCTTCCGGTATTGGCTCCGAGGCTGGATCGGCACCCGCTTCCTCTTTGTTAACGATAAAATCGACAACGAAGGCCAATTACTACGAAAAACTTTCTCACGCGTTCTTGAAGTCTGGCGACGCCTTATATCGCGCCACCGCTTGGGCGAAGTACTATATACTAGTTACGTATGCTGGCGCGAAGGCTGTTGGGACTGGGGAAAGTAAGGAGGTTTTGGCAGGTAAAGTGATCGTCCGTGCGTTGGAGGTCCCAGTGGGAAGTAGAGGTACGTTGTTTTGTTTGAGCCTTTGTCTTAATTATTACTCACTGATTATTTGAACACAGGTTCGCCTTCCCATCACCGTCTCTCTGTAAGACCTGGGTCAAAATGGGTCTTAGGGTAGGTTTTGGTATGCGAAGGCTTATGTTGTAGCGTGCTAGGAGCAGGCTGGAGCTCGAAGGGAACTACGAGAACCGCGACCGAGGACGGGAATGACCTAGTAGTGGTTGGAACGACGAGATGGTGACCCTTGTGGGGTTCCTAGGAGGTCCAGGGAGGTCCCTAATGCGTAGGGAGGTTCAAGAAGAGTGCGGGACCGTACGATATTGCGTAGTAGGAGTTGTACTCGTTAGAACGTCAATATAGGATCGAGTAGGTAATTTATGCAACTGGGGCTCGAGGGTGTAAGCTCCCGAGAAGGGATACGCCAGGGAGGGTAGGTCCCTGGGGGCTGGGGTTGGGGATGGTCGTCCTCGAGTGTGGGAGGTGGTAACGGAGAAGCAATACGTAGTTCGACGTGAGGGGTAGCTTCGACGTTACCTAGACTGAGGTCCCGAAGCTTACGAAGTAGCTAGGGAGCTCTGGGAGGTTTGGGGAAGGGTAGCTCACCAAGCGGGTAGGCGTTGGGGAGCTTTAGTAATGTTCGAGGGAGCTTGGAGACTCACTCGGAAGGCTTAGACTTGAAGTAAAAGCGTATATTCGATCGTATAGACGATCAGAGAGACGATAGACAGTAGTAGAGAGAAACAGAAGTAGAGAAATAGAGAGTAGAGAGAATTCCGTATAGGTAGCAGGTACAAAGGGACAGGGACTGGACCTATGTAAAGGGTGTGTGTTCAAAATATACCAAGCTAGGGACGTTTATGTTACAGAGGATACTTATATAGGTGGGCTGAATAGTAACGGGACATTGTAATAAACGAGCATCTAATGGGGTTGGCGTGAAGTGCGGAACCCATGAGGCTAAATTGATAGGGGATTGTCCGGCGGCGTACGCGAATCGCGGAGCTGCCGCTTCAGATGGAGGTTAGCGTTGGTGGGGAGGTTAGTTAGGGTTCCGTGGTTCATGGAGGTTTTGTGGGAGGTTATTTGGGAGGTGTAAGGGAGCTGATACGCTGTTCTGGGATGTCTAGGAGAGTGACTAGGGGAGCTTTTGGGGCAGGGCATGACATTACCCCCCCTTTTACTCCTCCGAGCCTCCGAGGAGGTTTCACTTCGAAATATCATGTGGCTTTCACGTGATCGAACTTTTTTCGTTTATAAGTTCGTTTTCCCCTCCCCGTCCGCCTTCTTTATCCTCCTGCCTGTCATCACCCGAGTAAAACTCGACTGCCATGACTGCACCTCACGCTTCTACCTCTGCCGCGGTTTCCGATGCTCTTGGCGTACCTCCCTCCTCCCCAAATCAACGCAACTCTGATGTGGACGAAATCGTAAGTAGTGTGGAGGAACCCTCCCTTGGCCAGCTATCTCTTTTCAAGTCTGTCTTCGGTGTGGGGGTCTCACTTGCACGTTATATCGTCGACGATCCGCTGTGGTCTACCTTGGCTGCTGCGGGTCTGCCGTGTCCCACTTGCGTTCGAGGTAAAAAGGAAGGCAGTTGCTCGCTTGTTCCCCATCTTGCTCGGTGTAGCAACTGCGATGATAAAAAGCCGTGTGTCCTTGGACGATTAGCGCGCTTTCGATACTTTTCTCGTAAGTGCTCTCGCGACTTGGCTTTCGCTCGTCGTTTTCTGGAGGTCCATGGAGACCCGGGTCAGCGCACCCGCTACTCCCTCCCGACTGAGCAGTGGCGGGTCCTTTACGATCGCGTTGAACAAAGCACTAACTCGACCAGTGCACTCCTTGAATTGAATCCCTTGGATGATCAGGATCAGCGTGAGCTTGATCGTCAGGAGCTTCGGGAGTTTCGTCAGCGCCAACCGTTGATTCCTGGACCATCGACGTCGGTTCCTCGTACCTCCCCGTTAGCTGACGGTTCTCTCTCCTCGTGCTCCAGTTACGAAAAAGCGCAAACAACCTATCAGGGTGGATCTTGGTTCTACCCCCAAGCGTCGACGTCCGGAACAGGCTGTGGATAGGCTGTCCCCCACCGCACCTCCGGTTCCTCGAGTCGAGGGAGGTTCGGATTACCGTCGTGTGGTCCTCGTCCTCCGTCCTCCTCACGTTCCCGATTCGGAGAATCCCAATTTGCCGGGAGTAGGACACCTCGTCCCTGAAGATTCCCATGGGTCGGCTGTACCCCAATCTCGATCGCAGGGTTCCGCCGAGATCCTTCATCGCGTTCCGCAGGTTGGTTCGTTTGAGCAGTTCGTGCCTCCAAGTGAGGTGGAGGATTTTTCCAGGAGCAGAATAAAAACCCCCCCTGTTCAGCAGGTCAGTTTACTTTTCCTTCCCTTTTTTCTTCTGATTGAACCTTATGCCTCTTCAGCGTACCCGGGAGCCTTTGCGCCCCTATCCTCGTTCCCAAGCTTCTTCCGCTCTAAGGGTGGAGAATGATCGTTTGAAGATGGAGGTAGAGGAGCTCCGAGCGCTCCTTACACAGTCCCGGGGTCAGGTTTCGACCTTGACCGCCCTCCTCCGCGACACCTCTTCCTCGTTGGATCTTCGGAGCCAGGAGCTTGAATCTAGTCGTCGGTCGTTGGAGGAGGTGGCGGCAGACCGTGCTGAGTACCAACGAGTTCTGTCTCAATTTCAGGCTCTCAAAGCAGAATTGCCTGAGCCCTCTTCTGAGGCATGTTTCGTTCTCGTTTGTTTCCTTCTCACTGATCTGACTCGTCGTCCCTTTTCAGGACCTTTTAACTCGTTTTCGTATTGCTTATGCTGGGTCGGATGCCTACAGGGAGGTGGCGAAGCGTCAAAAGGAGGAACTCGGGGAGCTCCGTAAGCAAGTCGATGATGCCAGCAATCGCTCCTTCGAAGCTTACTCGGATCTTGACGCTGCTAATGCTCGTGCCCTGCGTCAACGAGATCGTCTGGAGGAGTTAGAGGAGTTGGTTTGCCAGTATCGGAATAGGGCTCATGTTGCGGAAGGTTTGATTAGACAGTACCCCGAAGATGAGGGTCTGTACGAGGTTGAACTGCCCTCCCTTTCAGAGTTGCAACGGAAGCTTGATGCCTCGGAGGCGTTAGTTCGTCGGTTGGCCACTTTCGCCCATCGACTCTACCGATCTGATCCTGCCAACTTGCTCCATTACCATAACCGGTACGTAGGGGGTCTCCTGGAGGCCATCACCCTCCTCCTGTACCGCGGTCTTCATCACACTCCCGACCGTCTTGCCTCCGTTATCAACTTCGTTTTGGATTACTTGTCCCAGGCTCGCTTCGTCCACGGCGAATTACATCTTCGTTCGACGAGCAGTCTTCTGTATTACTATTCCAACGCGGCGGACCGGGTTGAAGGTTTATACCAGGAGATGTTGACTCATTCGCGTTTCCCTTCTCACGACGCCTTTCTTACCGCCGCCCAACACGCCGGATATGTAGATGCTCGTCCTGGTTCCTTGGAACCTCCTCTTCATAGGAGATTCTTCTCCTTTGGTCATCCCATCCCGATTTCGCCTTCCCCTACCTCCGATCACCTCCCCGCCATCCCTGCTATGGATTCCATTATGGTCTTCTGGGAGCATCTCATCGCCAATTATATTCGCGATATGATTGACACCCCAGGTCCCCGGTACTCGTTTCCTTCTCCGACGGAGCTTCCTGACGTTGGGAGCGGTCCTTCCCTTTCGACAGATTCGGTTCCAGCGGGAGGAAACAACGAGAGTGTTCCCAAGGGAAGTGTGGAGGTGGAAGGGACAGTGGGCCCTGCTGTTCGTCGGAACGCCTCCACACCCGCGGAGGAGGGTGGCAGGGATCGTCCTGAGGAAGGTTCAGGGGCTCCCCTTTTCCTTCCTGATTCTCGTTCTCCTTCATCCCCCGTTCCCCTTCTTTCCGTCCCTGTCGTTCCCAACGTCATCGACCTCACAATGATGGATGATGATGGCGAGGATCTTTATGAGTCCCATGAGGAGTATGAAGCTAGGGTGCGGGGCGATGTGTCGGTTAAAAGCGAGGGGTCTAGTCCCGTATTGTAGTCTGCTGTACGATTTTTTTATTAATTTTTTTGGCTGTTGGTTTTCGTATGTTTTGCTTAGCGTCGCGTAGTCCATTTCTTGAATGTATCGTCCGTTTCTTGAATATAGACTGATAGGCATTCGATGTGGTTTGTGGGTAGCGCGCTAAGTGAGTAATGAAGGATAATATGAAATGAAGTTTGGAAAAGGAAATGAGGAGATCATAATTTGTTCGTCGTGTTGTGTTGTCCGTTATTCGTTAGTTCGTGCTCCTCCGTCTCTCTCCCTCCTCCTCTCCGCTCTCACTTCCTGTGCTCCCTGGTGATGCCGTTCCTTCCCCTCTGTCATCCTTTGCTTGCTTCTCCAGTAATTCCCATTGGTCCCTCCTTGGTTTCCGCTTTCGGTTGTGCGTGCCGTGCCACTGCTTTACAAGTTCCAGTGAGCCTACCATTCCTCTCCATCCCACCCACGAGTTGAAGTCATCATCGTAACCCTCCCATTTAACCAGGTATTCCACCTCCTCCGACTTCCCTTTAACGGGTCTAGAGTCTAGGATGCTCTCCACGAAGTGTTCCGATTCGCCTTTTACGAAGATTGGAGGGGGTGGGGAGTTCTGTCTTTTGAACTTGTCGTGGAAGTGGGACTTCAGTCTATCCACGTGGAACACGTTGTGGATCTTGTGGAGGTCTCCCGGGAGGTCCAACCGGTAGGCATGACTCCCTACTTGCGAGAGTATCGAGTACGGTCCCGTCCATTTGTGATCCAGTTTTTTCATGGGTCGCCTAGTTTTGACATTCTCCATATTCAGCCAAACTTGATCGCCCTCCTTCCAGTCCGGGGCCTCCTGACGTTTTTGGTTCGCATACTTCATATATCCCTCGTTAGCTGTTCGAATTCGTTCCTGGAGGTACGTATGTAGTTCCTTGAGGTTTGAGGCGTACTCGTTGACCTCCGCTCCCTGTACCCGTTCCAACGTAATTGACAACTTCGGGTGATATCCTTTGTTGGCAAAGAAGGGTGAGACACCTGTCGTGGTGTTGGGGTGTTATTGTACACGAACTCAGCTATGGGGAGCAGGAGGTCCCAATCATCTTGGTCGTAGGCGCAGTAAATTCGGAGGTATGCCTCTACCGACTGGTTTACACGTTCCGTTTGCCCATCCGTTTGGGGGTGATATGCTGTGGATAGGCGAGACTCGATCCCTAACACTCTGCAAAGCTCCCTCCAGAACTGAGACACGAATAGGGAGCCTCGGTCCGAGGTTATATCGGAGGGCATCCCATGCTTTGAGAAGACGTGCGTTATGAATAGGTTAGCAAAGTCCTCCGCGTTATTTGTCGTATGACAAGGAACATATATGGCCTGTTTGGTGAGTCGGCAGA